CCACCACCTCAGTGACAACTGTCAATAAGAGGCAGGCGGGGCTAGTAAAGCTACCTAAAAATAAGCTTGATGTGGTTCTTAAGAGCCTCAATTTGTTTCTCAGTAGAGGCAAGTCTTGGTGTAACACATGAAAAAAGAAAATTGTAAGGAAAAATTTTGTTGTTGTCATTCTTAGAATGAGTGAAAGTTTTTAAAAAAAAAAATTTATTATTATTATTATTATTTTTTTTTTTGTATTTGTTTTAGTGGAAGACAAACTAAATATAGAGGATTTTGAATTTGATCGAAAAAAAATATATATTTGAATTTTATTGAACTGTGCTTCTTTTTTAGCTTCAAAGACTTCAAAAAAATCTCTCAACCTTTCTCAGGGTTCCATCAGACATTTAACAAGCTTTATGATAATAATCCTAGTACATGAGGGTTTAGTGTGGTTTAGAAAACACTATTTTTGCCCTTACTAATTCACTTTCTCTCATAAAATCTCTAGGGAAAAAATGACGAAGCAAGAGCTAGAACTAGAGATTTTATTTTTCAACAATGATTCGGAGCTCCCATATTATACCTGTTGTGAGTGCAATAACACATTGCATTGCAACAACAAATATTAAGTACTTGTTGTCCAAAAATGTTGATTTGAATAACTTTGTAGGATCTAGTAGCATGGCTAATCTACTTTTGTTTATTCTAATTTTTTGAATCTTTGTTTATTCTTATTTTTGAATCTACTTCATTTATTCTTATTTTTTGAATCTCCTTTGCAGGATACAATAGCATGACTAGCTCAAACCCTGACCGTGGCACGCTTTGGACCTTGGCTGAGCATGAGGGTTTGAGCTGGCTTCCCTCACACTAGCTTTTGGAGTGAGTGTCGTTTACTCTTATTTTTTAATCTAGGATGCAGTAGCATGGCTAATCTTCCACAAAAGATGAGAAATTCTCACAAAGTACGTTAATTAGATATGACAAATGTGTTTCATTATTATGGTATGATAAAATAGTGTTATAAATTTATAGTGATGAATGGTGTTACTTATAGTAGCGTATTTTTCTTTTGATATTGGCGGGCCTAATCAAACAATTTTGGCGAGACTTAATTTTCGAGGTTGCGATAGTGAGCTAGGCCTGATGTTTGTGAGATGTCTAAAACTTTTTTTTCTATAATATTTTCTTTTTATTTGAAACTGGTTTGACTATTTATGTTATTTATTCAACTTCAAGATGAGGATGATTCTTTGATTTCGATAGGGTATGCTCTTCTTATATAGTAAGTTTTTGGAAGTAGTATATGAAAACTTCATGAAATATTAATTATGATTTATAATTCTAAAATTTGTAAGGACTATTTGCTATTTTGGATTGGTCATGAACACATATCTTTGCGCGTGACAATGGAACTTCTAGCCCGATGACTACCTCGCCTGGACCACCACTTCCTCCACAGGTATCACTATCTCAACCCATACCAGAAGAAATTTCTTGAACCTGAGATCGTGCGCCTTAACTACGCATCCCAGCACTCGTCCTACCACTTGAGCTACCCATGGGTGGGAGTATCTATTTATTACATGTATATCTAAATTTGTTTTCCATTATACTAGAAGACATTGAGTTTTATTTGGTGGCACTAAATAAGAGAGATAAGTCTAGTCTACCACACTTTTGGTTGTTCCAAGTTTCATCAGCGTTTTATGATTCTTGCTTAACAATGTTAGAGAATAAAGGTGTAGTAATTGTACGACGAAACATTGGTTTATTCACACTCAAGGACTTGGAAGCTCGGAGAAGAAGATCTAATGTAGTAGATCTAGGAACATCTTTGCTAGTTGGTGTGAATATCTTTACTAGTAGGGAATGATTTTCGGCATCAACATACATTAATATTTTTTAATAAATGATATTTAGTAAACTCAATAACATTAATAACGAATTAATTTTAATCTAAATTAGTTTAATAGAATATTTTAAATTTGTATCAAATATACAAAGATCTTGTCTAGCATAAGGTTATACCATACACTATAACATTATATATAAATTTAGATTTAATATTCAATTCATGTAGTCTAGTCTAATATCCAGTCTTAAAAAATAAAAATTAAATCACTTTTTAAAGCAATTTAGATTTTAGACTATGGGGTATATTGGATCTGGCAGTGTAGACTCATGTAAACACATTACTTAACCCATTAGCAAAATATGGAGAAGGTAGACTTTATTACATAAGGGCTTGGGTTTTCCAGCAGAACCTCCATATCCATTCAACAACTACAATTCCATCTACTCCTTTATAATCTATTTAAACACCAAGAAATGCTACTTCTTTCCAAACCATCGTAATTCCTTTTCATTTTTATCAGTTTGCTTGTTCACAAATCCTAAATGACCAATAACTTATCTTTCATCTCTAACTTTAAACCACTCAAGCCCATATTCCATCTTTTGCTACTGGCCATCACATTAACATGTGCCAATGCAGCCAGAATCCTCACTGAGGATGACACTCCCCAACCTATCCCACAACCTCTACCTGAATTTTCAAATCTCATTCCAACACCCATTACTGGCATGGCTCCGGTAGCTGGAACTGTCACCACCCCTCAAATTGCCACTAGTAGTGCCACTGTGACAAAATCCCCATTGTCATTTTTCATGCATGACATCCTTGGTGGAACAGCCCCATCGAGTATGCTTGTGACTGGGATCAGCGCCAAAACAGAAGTTAATGGCCTCCCTTTCTCCAAACAAAATAGCGGGGTCTTTCCTCTCAATGGTGGTGTACCTCTTGTCACCGCTAACAATGGCATAATTAACAAATTGTAAATAATAACCTCCCATTTATGGCGGGCCTAAATGGTGCAACTACAAGCACTGTTATCAACAATAATGATAACAACAATGTGGTCAGTAGTGGCAACCCTCTCCCATTTGTTACAGTTGGGCAGCTTCCACAAGGGGCTACGTTGCAAAAGCTAATGTTTGGGACAATAACAGTTATTGATGATGAATTAACAGAAGGACATGAGCTAGGCTCTTCAGTAATTAGTAAAGCAAAAGAGTTTTATTTGGCTAGCTCATTGGATGGAAGTAGCCAAACCATGGCATTTACTGCTTTGTTTGGTGAACATGAAGAAGATACAATTAGTTTCTTGGGGGTTCACCGCACAGCTGCACATGAATCACAGGTTGCTATAGTTGTTGGGACTGGAAAATATGAAAATTCACAAGGGTATGCCACCATTGAGACACTTCACCTCACCAATCAGCACACAACTGATGGTGTTGAAACTCTTTTTCACTTCAGTGTCTATCTCACTCATTAGTATTGTACTAATTTGTTGTTTTTGCAATTTGCTTGGAAGTCCTGATCCTTTGTAAAAGGCTTCGCAATGGAATGAAAACTCTTTTTAAAGAATATTTCCGCGTGGGGAGGCTTGCCATAAGATAGATCTATATATTTGGCAAAACCATGAGATAATTACTGGTGCTTAACATAATATTTTCTAAGAAATACAATCGCTTCATTGGAAAATTTTCCAATATTAAATACAATCACTATGTTTCAAAATGAATTATATCCGCTGAGAAGTAATGTATTAATTAGTATCAATAAAACCTTTATAAATCATAAATCTTTAGTTTGCTGTGTGATGCATTTCTTACTTATATACGATGTGAAGTTCCATACAATTTCAATAGTAAGATGTTCTTAAAATTTTTCCGAGAAAATTGTGTACAATTTTCAGATGTTTTTCAATTCATTTTTTCTATGTTACTCATCCCCATATGTAATGGATACCTACAAGGAACATATTCACTATATGCAATGCATACCTAGGATGTAATGCCTACCTACAAGGAACTTATTCACTGGTGCATAAGTTTTTGCAAGTAGTAGTGTATGTCAAGATCATCTAAAGTTTTAATGAAGGCTCTCTTCTGATGCCACAGGCTAATGTTTTGGGATCGTCAGAGGGCGCTTGACTATTGCCATGGCTACCATTGCACCTCCTCCACCAATACCACCTTGGCCATCACCTTCACAATAAAAACCACCACTACCACCGACAGCCAGGCAGGGCCACTAGTACCTCAACGACCACTAGTACCTAAACAAAGAGGGCTGGCCCCTGACATCAGTGGTTCAAATCCAAAGGAGAATGTTGGCCTTATAGTGGGAGTGAATGTTGAGGTGTTTATTTCAGTGGTGTTGGCAGATGAAGAATGGGACTCCAGGGACACTCAAAGACATGGATTCCTCTATCTATTATTAATGGAGTATATTCTCACACTATGAGAAGTAAAATACTCTAATGGAGCAACTGCTAATCATGATGAGAACTAAAGACTCGTATCATTTAACCTCAAATACATCTTTCATATTAACGAAATTATAAAGAAGAATAATAGAAGTTTGATTCATGTTTTCTTATAAAATGTTGCATTTAGATTTAGTGTAGAGTTCAGTCTTCAGTCCCACTCGAATTCTCTGGAGTACTCCTTCAATCGTATGCGTAACAAAATAATAAACCATTAACAAATTTTCGCAGGTTGCCAAAGAGTAAAAATTCAATATGCGACTTCTTCATTTACAACCCTAAAAGTTCCCTGTTTTACTCAAACGCACCCAAACAGGTATTGTGATAGTGTTGCATTTGTTCATGTCACAGATGATCTCAACATGAACACATACCTTAATGTAATCATCTTAGCTTGAAAAGTGGTTTACAGAGAACCCGAGAACCTCACTCTAGGGAATGGGCAAAATCTCAATAGAACACACCTCGCTGATCTCTCAATATTTTCTACCTTACACTCCTTTAGATATTTCCATCTCAAAATTATTTTAGTTGTTCCTAATATCACAAAAAAATCTATTACAGAAATGTACTAGTTGAATTTCACAACAATTTCTACTTAAACTTATTCATATGGGTTTTACTTGCTATTTGTAGGTAAAATTCTTTAAATTGGAAACTTTTGTATTAAAATCACAACAATTTTCACAAGCAAATATATCTAGTATTGAAATCTCTTATACAGAGTTTTTTTTCGGTACACATAGAACAGCCACTTTTAATTCAAAACACACTGGTAACTAATATGTAAGATACACATAAATCTCCAGAAGAGTTTCAACTCCATCAGTATTATGCAGGATGCTTGCTGGAATGGTCTTAACAGTTGCATAACCCTTAGCATTCACATACTTTCCAGTTCCACCCATAATTGCAAGCTGAGATTCTGAGACAGCGGTTCTATAGACTCCGAACAAGCTGAGGCTATCAGCATAGCCACCGCTTTCAAACATGGCTGTGAAAGCCATGGTCTGGCTGCTCCCATCTACAGAACTTGCAACGTAAAACCCTTGTGCCTTACCAACTAGACCTGATCCAAGCTCATGCCCTTCAGTTAGCTCATCATCGATCACTGTCAATGTCCCAAACAGAAGCTTCTGACGAGTATTCCCTGCAGACAGCTGACCTCCATTCAGGACTGGAACTCCAAATCCTCCATTATTAAAGTTGTTGTTGTTGCCATTGTTTTGGCCACCCACATTAGCTGTGTTTCCACTAAGGCCAGTAAGGAAGGGTACGTTGTTATTGTTAATAATCCCATTATTGCTGTTGTCGACAGGAACCCCATTGCTTACTGCAATGTTTGCACCATTAGGCTTAGCAAAGGGGACTTGACCACTAACTGCAGGGTTGGAAACCACACCGGTCACGGCTGTAGCCGAGGGGTTCGACCCACCAAGTATGTCATGCATGAAGAAAACAAGTGGATGGTGGGGGTCTGAATTGGGCACTACAGCACCGGTGGCTGCATTGTTGGCAGCAGGTATCCCAGCTGAACCGGCTGGTGAACCCGGTGCAGCGGTGGGAACAAGTGGTTCCTCCTCCTCAAGGATTCGAGCCGAGGCAGCACAGTTGATTGTGAGAGCTAAGAGCAGCAGGCAGAGTAGAGGCTTAAATGAAACAGAGATGGAGTTGCGGTTTTCCATGAGACGATGAGATGCTCTGAGAAATCTAATGAATTTGAGATATTCTATGTTGTGGTGATGATGAATTTTAGACAGTTCGTCTGTGTATATATGGTGCAAGTAGAAGGCCTAGAATTGGAGTTGGAGTTATAGGATGGAGTTGATGAAATGGAGTAGGTGGATGCATTTCTCACTCTTGGTGTGTTGGTTAGAACCTGAAAATATTAATTAATGATACAACTGCTTTGCATATATCAAAATACAAATATTAATACCAATTTTTGGGACGTTGGGTTTAAGAACTGATATCACAAATGCCATCCATAACAAGTATTAACTTTTCCTAGGAAATGTTTCAAATAGTCTGAATCTTTGTTGAACAAAGTGTAATCAGGGGAAGTTGATTAAAGGTAAAAAATATTGTCACTATTTTCGCATTTAAGTTTTCCAATTTACCAATACATGGATTTTACTCTAGATCTCCCAACATGAAAAGAAGCGGAATATCCCCTCCACATATTACAGGAATTCAATTTCCTCTCATAGATGAAGGATGACATCAATGCTGAACCCTTTAAACTTTCAAGTACGGCTTCAGCTACAACGGCTGATAACTTTGAAGATAATAATACAAAATTGGGGCAAGTTCTAATCAAAATGCAAGGATAGGGTCTGAGCATCAAAATAACGACGTTTCAAGTATCAAATTCCCGCTCTCACCGAAGTCTATATTTGTGCAAATTAGTTCAACAGGTCGACAACCCACAACTTTAGCACAACAAGATCACCCATCAGGAGTTTCAGAGTAACGCAAACCAGCTCTCATTTTCCTATTCCCCAACAAATCAATCACAACCATACTCTCACACCCTGGTAGGGCCAGATAAACTATATATCTGTCATGAATACTGCTGAATTGAAACCTCATGTCCCTGATCAGCTGCCAGGCAGAGAAGTCCTACAATTGCAACAAAATAAAGATCATAGCTAAAACCAGGGCATTGCAGGAAATAAACTAGTAGAACAGCCACAAAAAAGCTGAAAACTGGTCAGCATCATTTGTCTCCTTCTCATATCATCCTTTAATGTGCATATACAAGTTCACTCACAAGCCCATCTACACTTTCATCACCAACACAAGCATCCCTAACTAGAGCTTCCCAAGCATTTAAATCAAGTCTCATCTTTCTCTTCTCCATCTCCTCCAAAAAGAAGCAAGCACCATCAATCTTTCCACACTTCAACAGTCCCTCAATCAGACAACGAAATGTTTCTAATCGAGGACAATGCCGACTTGTCAACATTGCATTGAAAACCTTCAAACCACCCTCAAAATCTTCAACTCTGCAGAATCCATCAGCCATCATCCTATATGTAGCCGCATTCGGCTCACAACCTCCAACTTGCATCTCAACAAAAACTTTATAAGCCTCAGTTGTTCTACCCTCCTTGCAAAGATAATTTATCAATATATTGTATATCACAACGTCCGGCTTAAAACGCCTTTTTTTCATCTCACCAAGTAAAGATTTCGCCTCGTCAATCTTCCCTCTCTTTCCAAGATCAGTCATCAACACTCCAAAATTTATAAGCTTAGGTTTACACCCTCTATATGCCATATCAAACATCATCTTTTTAGCTTCTTTAAACTCACCAATAGAACACAAACCTTCCATCAATAATGCATACGTTACCGCATTAGGGTATTTCCCTTTCTTAACAATGTCCTCAAACAAACCCTTGGCTTTCTCAACGTCACCCTTTCTACATAAAAAGCCAATAAGACTATTATAAGTCACAACACTTGGTTGAACTTTTCTCTCAAGCATTTTATCAAACACTCTACGAGCTTCTACCCAGTTGTCCTCCTTTAACCACCCTTTGATCATTATATTAAACGAAACCGAATTTGGACGAAGGCCCATCTTATGAAAACTGCCAAACATTTCCTTAGCATCATGAAGCCTATCATTATCAATAAGTACGTTAAGTAATGTATTCAAAGACTGTAATGTACGAACACAGTCAAAAGAAGTTATTTTATGAAAAAGTTCAATGGCCTTATCAACCAAATGCGCCTTTCCATAATGTTGAATCAAAGCAATGAAAAGGATTTCCTTGCAACGAATATTGTAATCTTGAATGTAACCAAGAACTGTCTCAACGGCTTCAAAATCACGAGCACGTGCTAGTTTGTAGATGAGAGAAGCATATGAAGGGTAATCATGTTTAGAGCCCATTTGGTGGTACTCGTGAAAGAGGGACAATGCCTCCTCGGGATCGTGTATTTGTTTTAAATTGGTCACAAATGGTATGGGGTTTCTTGGCCGTGGTGTAATTTTCAGAGGCTGTTGAATTCTTCGTCTTGTTTTGGTTTTGGGTTTGTTGCGAACAAGGGTGTGGTTTTGATGAGAATGAATATGATTGATGCATTGGTGAAAAATGAGAGCTTGTGTTTGGTTATTGAGAGCTTTCGATCTTGAAGGGATCATGGCAATAACAAGCACTTGACGAAGCTTTTTCATTCAACTCCTGTATGCTATGATCCTGTATGCTCTGTTTGGATCATAGCATCTTCAAGAGAGAACAAAGAGCAGATTTTTTTTTTCCTCTAATACCGAAATAACTAGCTAATGTTTGGTTACAAATATTGGTTGGACCTCAATTGCAAACTATTTTTTCTCTTTCCCCCATTTCTCTTTGATCGGCTTCATAAATTTATCACTCCAAATTGCAATTACTTAATCTTGTTTAACTTGAGATATTACGATTGGCTTCAAATGGTGGTACTTTTTTTCGTCACAAAATCATCCTGTAAGTTGTGTGATCTTGATATTACATGAGGCAAAACTAACTGTATGTGTCTGACATCTGAAATTTTTTTCGGGAAGACCAGCAATTTTCATCAATAATATTTCTAATATGCTATTACATCATATAATACAGGAGTATAAAAACCAAAACAGTTCATTTTTACAACACTATTGTCTATTGTTATCCCTATTATACCTTTATGTCCAGGTTATAAAACATGTCATTAGTCATAACTCAATCTGAAAGTCTGCTACCTTGCCAGAAGCCTGAAAAGAAAAGCAAAATTACTATAAACTAAAACACTGCCTAAAAGTCTTTATTAGAAAAAATAAAAAAGCAGAAATAGTACGGGAGATATCTAATAAACCCATGAATATCAAGACATTTATTTTACGATATACTAATGCAACACAATAAAATAAAAAATAAAAAAAATAAAAGGATAAGATAATGAATCATACCATTGATGGGTGTTTTAAAATGGACATATTGCAAATATTGCTTCCACGGTTACGGGAGAGAAACAGCCTCACATGTGGGACGCTCTTCCAACTCTCTCCAAGCGCTGGTTTAGCAAGACCTCCCTCACCACCCACTGTGTGATTGGTCACCTTCAACAAACATTGTTGGTAAATAGAATAAATAATTACATTCACCATATAGTTTTTGAAGTAAAAAACAAGTACTTGATAAAAAAAAGTGGAAATGCAGCTACTCTTCCGTTATGTTTCTTAACAATATCCTTTATACAGGTCTACTTTAAATTTAGAAAAGGGGCATTGTGTTACAGATAGAGATCAATTTCTGAAAATTTTACAAGGGACTTGACTGGCTCATTGAATTTACTGAAAAGAGTTAGCAACTTGTGCAATTAAAACTTCTCAGACAAAAAGTTTTATTCATGCCTGTACACCCAAATAATTTGCAAAATTGGATTATACAACAAAACATTTAAAGAATCAGGAAAACAATTGGGTCAAATTAATGCTTTGACAAGATGCAAAAGATTTTCACCTGTCAAGAAACATTTAAAGAATCAGGAAAACAATTGGGCTATTTCAAGTGCAAATCTTACCAGGACTGCAAGATTATACTCATGGGCTAACTTCTTTAGCAGAAATCCAGCAGATATCATCAAAGCCCGTCCTGTACCGATAAATTTTGTATGCATATTAGTTGCAGATGATGAAGAAGAAGAGATGAAGAAACCAATATCCTTGGTAATTTAAAATACATAAGATGAAGAAGAAGAAGAGATGGAAAGGAATGAGAAGAATTGGCAGAACAGAAAAATGACAATGCCTCCAAAAAATGAAGCAAAGAAAAATAAAAAAAGGGGGAAGAGAAATTAAAACCAATATAAAGGCTAAGTTGTCATCCTCCCATTAAAAAATTGTCCACTGACTGAGAAGTACTGCCAACTAGAGAATCATCACTATGTAAAGACCTGGATATCCACTCAATTGTTCTAACCATTTCCTAAATAGAACAATTTACATTATTGGCTTTGAATTATTCTATAATTTCCTGAATAATTTAAGATGGGCACAATTATCATCCATGCAACGAAATTTAAAATCAAATTGGTATTAAATAGCATAATTTCAATTTCTGTGACAACTTTCTTCAAGTTACTACAAGATATCATAATTTAATACCAAGAAATTTTCTAATATCAGATTTAAGACTCATAAGGATATGAGGAATGGACCCCTACACAAGCAAAAATTATAGATCCCTCTTGACTTGAAGGGTCTTATACGATCCCACCTTAGGTTTAATAACAGAACCTGATATTACTTACTGAACCGATAATAAATTGTAAAGAAACCAAAAATATCAATGTTGAAAAACATGCACATCTCTAGATTCAAATCATTAAGAAGCATCTTCTTTCCAAAAGAACCCTTTTTTTTTCTTCAACTTAGATGAAGAACTTAACTAAACCATTGTACAAGATACCAAGAAACAGTGATGTACATACAAGGATCTATACCCTGTGAACCACTGCCTCCAAGGACTGGGGAAATCAGTGATGAGATTGAATCAACGATAAGCAATGGCACCCGATACTCTCCTCTGTCCATCTAGATCCAAGGTTTAATTGCAAATAAAATTAAAATGAATTCTATCAAAAACATACTAGACAAGAGTGCTTAATTATAATAAAAACCTGAGATCTCAAATCAAACTCAAGCTGACGTAGCACATCAAACATAGAGAAGATGTCAAACACTGAGTGACATAAAATGCTACTCATTGCTTTTTGAATGATCTTTTGTTTAGTCTACAACAACAGTAAATAAGGAAAAAAAAAAGTTTAGGGCAGAAACTTAACAACAATTGAACATTAATTAGAGGTAAAATATATAACCTGGTTAAAGGCAGACTCAGAGATCTGCCCCACAAAGTGTGCAATGCGTTGAGGTGAAAAAGAGTTGCCTGTATCTAAGTATGCTACATAGCCCATATTCTTGACTGCAACATTTGCGGCAGTTTGAAGACAAAACTAAAGAACAGTAAAAACTTAAAATCAGTTCTAAACAATAGCAAACAAAAAAGAGAGAGAAAAAAAAAAAAAAAAAGCAATGTTCCAATGATAGAATCAAAAGCTTCATAGTAATATGAGATGTTCTATGATTACATCAGGATTTGGAGATCATACCTTAGGCTTATGCACTCTGTAATGAGATAATGACAACAAAATCCAAATAACTTCTTAGCAACATGACACACAATCATTTTTAATTAAAAACATCAATTAAGAAAGGCCCATTACACAGTTTTTGTCCCATCAAAGCATGGTTCTGGAGACAGATGATCTCACCAATGTCTAACCTTAACCATCTTTCAAGGCAGTGACTTACAAGCCTCAAAGCTAACACAATATGCTTGGTAGCACAGAATTTCCACCATCACAGCTGACACAAATCAATTTCTATGAGCCACCACAAATGACAGGAATACTTACTTGTGTTTTACCAGATGATGATGGGCCAACTAATTCCGTTAATTGTCCCTCACGCAATCCACCTTGAAGAAGCAAATCAACCCTAATTCCCAAAAGAAGCATATATCTTAAAATCAATAGCTTTACAGCATCATATTTAACTGTAACAAAACAGTTTTTAGTACATAATACCCTTCAAACCCAGTTGACAAAACCTGTTTATTCTGCAGAGAATCTTCCAACAACTCCAACCCATTCAACCATGGTTGATGCAGATTATCTATTATATTGAGGACTTGAGTAATTCCCTAAAACTTACAACACGTTAAAAGTAAATATGATGCTTCAGAATATTTTGAGACCATCAAACAAGCATGCTTAGTTTATAACAAAAGGTTTCATCCAAAAGCCAACCTCCTTCAATCTCTCTGAAGTAGGCTGCTGCTCAGCAAATGCAGCCAACTGATAGAGGTCATGTAGAACGAAATCTTCCACTGCAGTCAATCAACATGAAAATTGATTTAAATAGCATTTAAAAAAAAAAAGATTCAACTGAAAGTTTTTCCAATCACAGCAGCTAAACAGTAAAAGAAACACATGTTAATAACATTACATCTAAATTTAAGAGAAAGCAGGAAAACCATCAAACTTCTAAATTCACCTCCTCTTTCAAAAAAATTCATATAGATTTTCACAGTAGCCAGAATCATAGACTGACTTTAATAAAATAGAAAGCACAGAAACCATCAGGCACGTTTATTAAGTTCATTTACATTTTAAAACCCTAAAAGTAAACAAAAAAATAACTAAAATTTTAAATCACAAGTTCTTCATATGGAGTTAACTAAAGACAAACACTTAAACTGAGTAAAGGTAGCACCGGATTCAAGTAACGGAATCCAATTCCAACTAAACACGGTAAAATTGACATTTTATATCAGTATAAAACAAACTGAACGATTCTGAATAGAATTGTATTTATTAGCTTCGGTTACTCGGCAGCCGTGAAATAAATTGAACTTATGGGATGAAAAGAATGAAATTGTAGAGAAAATTACCTGAGAAAATGGCGTGAGAAGCGCAAAAGTTTTGGAAATTGACGTCTATTATTGGATACTCCGGTTCCAGTGATTTCAGTGGTGCCATCTTCACTCACACAGTCACACTCTCGCCCTGGGTTTCGTGAATTTTAAGTTTTTTTTTTTTTTTTTCTTTTCTTTTTAGGGGGGTGCCCGGCCCAGTGCTACCTATCTAGATCAACTCCGTCAGTAATATACTCAATAATTCTAACTGATTGCTGACCATTCTATTAGCAACTCGGGTATACGAGCTTAAGACCTCTTAGTTGATTGCTGGCCAACAACTCAGATATACTAAACTTAAGATATTTTAAATAATATATTCAAAAATTATAATTGATGTCCTAATTGATCGTTGAACCAGTGTTAAATTTTAAGTTGAAACCTCTTATTAACTCATAGATGAATTTCCCAATTTTGATTTATAAAATTCCGCACTTCATGGTATATGATATATAATATTATATGCAATCATAGATGTTCAATTGAGCATATTGAGTTGAACTAAATATGTTGCGTTTCTCAATCGACAAATAACCCCATGAATTGAATACATATCAAAATTTTGTAACTTGTTAAAGGGGCTCTTGATTTTTGTCCTTAATTTTTGTCCTTAATGTAATTATCTGGTGTTTTTATGGACTTCTGTAATCTTTCATTATCCATGACCATTATTTATCGGGGATGAGAATGATCTAATAGAGGAATAAACAGAACCATAATTGCCTCCCAAACAAGATTAAACACATTCTCGCAAAGCAATTTCCATTTAAAAAGGAGAAACATATAACAAAGGAAAGTAAAAAAGACTTTAAAACGATTTCTAGTAATAGCCTAAGAACAAAGTCCAAACTCTAAACTTTTATTGATTTATTTTGGACTAGCCTAAGCCAAAGGCAAGGAGCGATGTCACTTAGTTTGGTGGAGGAAAGAAAACCGCATCAGACATCCTCTTGGAGCGGAGAGCTTTTTCCAAATCTGGTTCCACATTGAAAGATGCCTCTAACACTGCAGGTGATATAGCCTTCAATACTGATGTTTTTCCGGCCAAATTTGTGAATATGGGACTGCAATGCACAAACTCAATCAAATACAATTACAATGCAAACACTTCATATAAACACAAAAATGGTTTCTTAGAACAATATTACCCACAAACAGATAATGTAAAGGAACACTTACTTAGGAGTGGTGATGATAGAGAACCACGCCAAGCCATCGGGGTCAGCAATCTTTGAAACAACAAAGAACCTTGGAACTATGAACAGATTACCAGCCTTGATAGTTGTTTCCAAGACCCTTTTGCCATCAGCACCAACAACTTGGACTCGGCCGCTACCCCTAACAACATATGTCACCTGCAGAGCTGAATCACAAGAAAAACCTGGAGAGCACATGGCTTTTCCATCCAACCTAACCAGATCAGCCCCCAGCCCAATCTCACCAACTAAAGGAAGGTTCTTAGTATTCAACAACACAACTCTTCCACCATCCTTAATGTCAACGTCTAGAGGGGCTTCCTCACAGTTCAGAGCCATACCATCACGGTGTTCCTTCTTTGGCTCAGGCATCTTCACATTCGCCCCAACCTTAACAATTCCATGGCCTGATTGCTTTCCAACAAGGGATTTAACTGAATTTTCATCCAAGTCCCATGCGCGGCTCACAAACTCGGTTGTGAAACCAGAGTACATGCCCTTAGGGCCAGCCAAAAAGAATTCAGTGAATTCACCAGGTTTGTGGGCCTTTGAGGTATCACCCAAGAAAAGAACTACCAACTCAGTGTCCTCTTTGTTATACCACCAAGTAACAACTCCAAAGGGAAGAGCGATAGCATCACCCTTCTTGATTGCAATACACTTCTCTTCTTTTTCAGGAAGGATAATTCCAGCAACTCCATTGCCTAAAGCGAAGGTCAATCACAAAAATATCATACACAAGTTTAATCATTTACAGTAACCAAAAACTATTATTTCACCACGATTGCCATGCCAATCAAAACAATGAAATAACCATGATCAAAATCATCTCCAAATCTGGTATGTAGCAACTAAATTTATATTGGAATAATCTATAACCTGCAGAGCTCAGAAAATCCAGATATATTGAACCACACACCAAAGCAACAAAAGCATAAGGAAAAAAAATTTCACCAAAATATCTCAACAAAATTAATTTCCTAAAAATAATCCAGATAGAACTTGTAGCATCCTGTAGATGGATAATCAACCGGCAACAGATCTTTTTATAATTTAAAAGCGGGTAAAAAATTAATTAGTTCTGAAAAAACGTAGTCAAAAGGCTTTGACTCACTAGGAAAATTCAAAAAGATCATGACAAGTTTAGAAAAGGCCAAAACTCTCATAACTCAATGAAAATCAACAAATAAGACTTACTTTCACTGATCTCAATTCCAAATTCAATTGACTCACACATTAAACAATACGTAAAGCATCTAATCTGATCACAAAGATATATATATATATACCTTGAAGAACATAAGCGACCTTAGAGGAATCAGAGTAACAAGGAAGAGCAAGGCCATTCTTTTCAAGACCAAGCTTAGAGGCACCTATGTTCCCTTCACACAGCATAGGCAACTCTGATGGACTCCATGCATGGTAAGATCCTGCATCTCCTGCATAAATTTTCTTGGGCAACTTGGGTGTCAAATCAAGATTCATCTTCTCTAAAATGAAGTCGCTAACTCACTCACTACAAATAACAAAATCAGATATTATGCTTTGGTAAGTGAAAAGCAGAGACGTATGGGGTTTAATTTATATACAACTGAAAGAAATTGTAACAGAAAAAAAAAATAAAAAATAAAAAAAAGATTCATAAGAAATATTATATTATCCAAATTTCAAACAGATTTTGTAGTATATTTTTTATTTGCATTACCTAATTCAGTTCTTATACTTATTTAATGGTGACATAATTATGGTTATTTTGAATGATAATATTTGGGTGTCATTATGGTTAATTTGAAAGATTATTTTGGAAATTTTTGAAACAAAAATGGATTGGAATGAATAAGAACTAAGATGAGGTTTCTTACCATTTATTAAATTTATCCTTATCTTAACTTTATTTTATTCCCAATTCCAATAACAATAAATGCCGGGTGAGTTGGCAAAATTTATGGGTTTTAAATCTGAAAAGAGCATCTTCTTTATCCTCATTTTCTTATGAATTATGATTTATTTGTTTACTAATCAAATAGAGTTAACAACAGTGATTAAAATTTTCAAAGGCTTTACTAATGGAATGAAGTTAATAACAGTCATCAAACTTCAAAGAAGACATCAAAAAGTAATTAGATGTGGCTGCTGGGATTCGAGCCCAGGTCTCTACGGCCACAACGTAGAATTCTAACCACTAAACTACAGCCACTTCGTGACTGCAGCATTTTATATTGTTTTTAGAGGTGAATAATAATTTTGAGGGAATAAATGATAATCTACTAGGCTATACAATACTTTTAAATATTGTCAGAACATTTATATCTCAAGGGGTTTTGAGTACTATGGCTTCGTTTGATTCAATTCTCAGAATACTATTTTTAGTATTCCCAAAAAAGTTAAACAGTAAAATATCCAAAAACTTTGATTTTTGGGAATACTACTCTCAATATTATTCAACTTTTTTTAAACCCTTTAAATTTGATAATTTAATTAAATACCCCTAAATATTTTTTTAAAAATTACAAAAACACCCCAGTAATTCATATTTACCAGATTTCGGCCACCACTATCGGAAAATGGCCGGAATCTGTTAGGATGGCGCACTACCGGCTGAATCTGGCCGATAGTGCGCCGATCTAGCCTTTTCCGGTCAGATCCACGGTGGATCTAGCCGAAAAAGGCCAGATCTAAGGCCAAAGATCTGGCCGTTGACGGCCAGATCTTTGGCCGTAACAGTTTATAACGACGGCCAACAAACGTCGTCGTTGACCATCAACGACGACCGTTTGTTGGTCGTCGTTGACGAGCAAATACGGCCGACAAAGGCCATATCGGCGCATGACCGGCAAGATCCAGCCAGTCATGCGCCAATACGGTGAACCCAGCCACCCTCCAGTGGTGGTGGCCGGCTGTCTGTATTTGACATTGGGTTGGGGGTGTTTTTGTTAACTTTTAAGATTTTATTATAGGGGGTATTTTGTAAATAAACAAATATAGGGGGTATTTTATTAATTTATAAATTCTACATCGTAATATCCGCCCAATTCAACTTTTTTTTTAACTTTTTTCAGAAAACTTTTCTCAAAAATACCCAATTATGAACCAAACGAAGCCTATAATATCCCAACAATATAACATGAGAACTTGTTGAGATTAAAATTGAAGTTACACTTGATTGAAAAATATGAGGAAGTTATTGGGATTAATATGAAGCTATGCTTGTTTACATGATATTTAAGTGGGTTAATAACAAGAATAAATTTTGTTTTACTAATCCTGTATTTGTTCAAGATCATTTTTAAAAGTACTTATATTAAAAGATGTAAATGTGAAGACTAAAACGGTGGCGTATTGCTTTAAGAGAGACGTAGTTGTTTTGATGTTAAGTGACCCAATCCTGACCGTTCATCTTGGCTTGATCCAGCGACTGTAATCTCATCATGGTTTTGGTCAACAGTATTTAAGCAAGCAAGAATTTCTCTCTCTCATCTGATCGATCAAGTTTGGCTTCTAAAGATAAATTAGAGCAGTGTTAGGGTTTACTCTTAAGCTTAATCGAAATCTCTATAATTTGGAGTTGAGTGGTTAGGGTTAATCATTCAAGGAGGGTTGGTAATCTCTTGGTTGCTGGGGATTCTATGATTAGTCTCTATAGAGTATTGATTACAAGATTGGTAGCGAATAGCGATTAAGGGGATTATTGGGTTTGATTATTTAAATATGTGTAATCTGTATACTCTGATTCATTATAGTGCAATAAGCTTCCACTGTTTTTGGAATTCAACATGGATGTAGTCTTTTCCAATTCTTGAAAAGACGAACCACGGTCAAATTGTTCTTGTGTGATTCTTGTTCTTGTTTGGTTAAATCAGGCGTAGATTAGAGTGATAAATCATTACAAAAGATATACTTTATAATATTAAAATATGTCTTACAAGGAAGAAGATCCAGGAAAGATAATGCACTTCTTATTTAATTATTTTTATTACAAATTTATCATGGGCTCTAAAGATGATTTGATGGGTTTATACTTTATATAACATCACTCGTAAGTCTTAATTAAATTAAAACTTTTACCAAAAAAAAAAAAATTATTATCTACTATTATTATCTTTATGATATTAATTGTCATAATAATAATAATCATAATTTGTTAACATATTTATGATATTAACATTATCCTTTGATAAACATATAACATTATTTATCATGATTATCTCTATTATAATTTCCATTATCGTTTTATAGAATAATACTTTGCGTACTAACGGATTTTACTAACTAGTGTACTAACCTTTGTTAAAATCACACATAGTATCCGTACTATGCGTATGGTACCCGTACTATGCGTATGGTACCCGTACTATGCTTCAATTAGTACACAGATTAGTACCCATCCGTTAGTACCCATAGCATCACTCCGTTTTATAATTATTAGTTTAATTATTGAGATTATCTAATGATAAAAGCTTGGGCTCAAAAATTGTATAAGAGAGAAGTTAATAGTCAGAGAATAAAATTTTTATCATTATTTTACCCAGAATTAATACCAAGCTCTCTTTCTCATCCCAATGCCCTCGCACATTATCACTCTCTAGCAAACCTTGGCTGAGCACGTTACTTTTGTTGAAGATTTGACAATAACAATAATCTCAGGTAAATATTTATTTTTCTGCATCATCACTAAAATTGCACCAAGTACATAGCGTACCAAAATAACATGAATGGTTTACAAGCCAAGGCAGACACAATTTTGAGTTGACTCATAAAAGCTTCATCTATTTTTCCTTTCGTTTTGATCTTGTTTTTTGTTAAGAGAAAAAAAACAATGTGCAACAAAGACAAGCTGATTCAGTTGATGCCTAATTCATCTTCTACATCATTTGTATGCGGACAACAAAACAAAAATCAAATGGGAAAAAATAATTAAAAAAAAAAAAAAAACCTTTTTCTTGCTTTCTGTAGTCTATCTTTAGTTATTGTCCCTACCGAAAAATTGAGGGGTTATCAAATATCTCTTCAACTCTATCAACTTCAATACTGTTACCTGTATTTGCTGCCATGCCTTTTGTGCCAAGTTCGCCATCTCCAAAATGCAGCTTTACACCTATAACTTAAGCTTCCTCTATCACTTGACAATTAAGAGGTTGCAACTGCTGATTGCAACTCCCGCAAAACATTGTTAAGCCAGAAGATTATTATTGAGGAATTTTATCAAGGGTTCCCCTTCACAGGATCAGAAGCAACAATTTGCATGTTTTCCATAGGAAGCTCAGGAGGTTGAGGCTTCGGTACATTTCTCAAGAAGCTTTTTACATATAGGGAACCAAAAACAATAACCTGATCAAAGAACAAAAAATAGGGTTATTTATCTTTAAGTAAAAGTTTCAAGAAACAAATTGAGATTGAAGGCTTACTGATCCGATCCACTGTTCCCAGCTAAGTGGATGGGAAAACCACACACATGAGAGCATGATGCTCACCAGCTTGAACAACAAAGAGAAGACAAGGCACTTATAATTAGAAGCATATTTTATGGGGCAAATGGGAGGACATTAGACTTTGATGTGGAGAACATCTATTTTACCTGTCTTGTGGTCATTATGGTGGCAAATGTGAGGGCACCAAATGTGCGAATTGTGTAAGAAATGAAGAACTGACTGGTGGTAGCTACCTGCAACAAATAATCCCCTATTTATTCAGTCCTATTGCATGTCTTTCTCCATTAGTCAAAATTTAGTAGTAGATGTGAAACTATAATTGTTAAAACAAGAAGATAACTTACAGTAGAAAGTAACAAGATGTCAAAGAAACAATCATTATGGCGATAAACAAAATCTATTGCCGGAAGTAGATGTCCTTCTAGTATTAGACCTAAACAGCAAAGAAGTCAAACACAATCAGCAACAAAATTCTAATATAGAACACCAACATAACAAATGAAGCTCTCGTATAAAAGATAATACAGAAAACAACTGTATACTATGAAACCCCTCAAATATAAGGTTCATAAAAAATAGCCTGAGGGATGTTACAGACTTAAATTTTTTAAGGTTTATGAAGGCAATAGAATTACTACTATGACATCTGCTAGTTTTAAATTTCAAAATAAATTGGGCCTAATTTGGGAAGAGGCAAAGAATTAGTAGTGCCACCATTGCTTTCTAAGCATCAACAAAATACTTAATGTATCATGTGTACAGCACGAAATATCTTAGCTTACTTTGAGTTTACAATATATTAAAAACGGAAAAAGTAGAAAAAAATTGTAACATCAAGGCTCCCTAAGTTGATTGATAAGATGAAACAAATACGAATGTCACGATTTTGCTTCCTTGGCAAAACATATCTGCCTTAAAGCAGTTTCCAGAAATCATACATCTCAGTTTCTGTCATGGAAAATCAACTAATAAAAGTACACATATTTAGTAAGAAAGTTCAATCGGTGCCAAGATTTTATGCATGAGTCAATCATTCAGGTAATGGATTTCAAAAACCAATTCCACTCACTGTGGAGCCAGCAGGGGAATGTCAAGTTTTTAAAAATCTTCAAGTTGTGGAATTGTCTACTTTCCTAAATTTCCAATTAGTTATAAAGCTTGATATTTAAAATATACCATCATGGTTTTACTGTTTTGCACCCTTCGATTGATTTTAGAAAAATAATTAAGAATATGAGATTGACAACTTAAGCCATACTATATCATAACTTTCAGAGATAAGGATAGAAATGATGTACTCATCCAAATAAGACAAAATTGCACACGTAGATATGGAGTTACATTCTTTAGAGTTCTGTAAACCCTATTGGAAAACCTAGGTACATATCTAATAAAAAAAGTATTGATATAATGCTCCAAAAAATGAAATCTCATTAAAACAATTCTAAATATATTGAATAGGAATAATATATATCCCATTATAACAATTGCAACATAAGATAAAACAACAAAGTATTTCATCAAAACCAAATACCAGCATATCCACTTACCCAAAAAATAAAATAAAAAAAATACTAACATATCTGCCCAAAACCAACACTGGCAGAAGCAAGCACTGACTCAAGAACCATCATACTACCAAGAACACCAAATGCAAGATTTTTAACCACAACGGTTTTATTAGATTTAAGATATACAGGGAACTCACCTGTGAAGCTGAGAACACAAGAACAAAATGCTGTGTAGAATATTTGATTGTGTATTTCCATATCATAGCCTTTGAATAACTTATCTTGAAATGTGCTTGTAAAGCCATCAAACCTGTCAAGACACAACAAATGAGCATCTGGATGTACATTTTCAGCAATTTGAACTGAGTAACAAAAAGTTATAGCATTCTAATGATGAGAGAAATGAGTTCCAAGTTGATACCCAAGATAGCTGATCATCAAGGAAACACCCCATACAGTGTTTTCCCTCCCTCTGTTGTATGGACTAATGTCTGATCCAGCCTACAGTTTGAAAGGAGGAACGAAACTTGAATTAATTAAGCTTATCTCAAAATTCATTAAAACTGAATTCCAACCACAGCACATTACAAAAATATAAATCCATCTACAGATTTGTGCATCAAGAATGATAGCATCCATTCAACAAGGTAGATTAAAAAGCATTATTTGTAATAGACGGGCATTCCAACTCATCATTCATTGGGAAAATAACATCTTTCAAGTTTTTTCAAGTCATCCAACAATACATATACTGGTCAAAACTGCCTGTCTCACATACATAACTAATAATCATGCAACCAAGCAAGTTGAAGGTAAGTGAAAAAGAGTACCCATTTGTATACTCTCAATTGTCAAGGTCTGAAATGTTGGCTAAAAGAAATAAAGATTTACATGCAGGCTGCATGAATGATAATTCATCTAATTGCTTAGGTAACTTGAGTTGTATTTAACCCAATGAAGAAACAGATGCAGACTATAATAAACAGCTCCAAAAACAAACAAAACTTCAACACATACAAGGTGAGTGACTTTGAGTACTCTTGAGGTGAGTATACTCACATAAAAAGACTAATTAGTATTTTTCTAATAAGTTAATTATGTAGAGAAGAAGCCTGATTTCAATTATTCATGAAGGTGGTCAGACTGAGAATTAGAGAGGACAATGAATTACCGGGAATAATATAAATACTGAACAACCCAGTGTCACTAGAAAAGCAAACAAATAGTCAGGTCCCTTGTATCTCTTTTGCATGATGATAGTCCCCCAAATCTGTAAAAGAGACAGAGACGAATAAGTGTGGGAAGTTTACCAGTTAAAAATTGGTAATAAGAAGCATGGCATAAAAAAAATAACAAAGAACAAAAAGTTAGACATTGCATATTTTACTAAAAAGGATGGCAGTAATAGAAATCATCTTTAAATTAAGAGACATATAGCATTTGTATAATGGAAAATTTTCAATTGTAAGATAACCATTATGTATAGGGAACACTTGGAATCTGCTTCATTCTAAAGGCCACAAGAGTGATACCAAACAGCCTCTATCAAAATACTTCTTTAAGGGAAAAATTACCAGCTATTTCCCTGAAATACTGGTTATCTACACTGCTAAAGCTCAAACAAATTATAAAACTGGAATATGAGAATCAACCCATGAACAAAAATATCCAAGGAGAAATAAAAAATAAGATATACAAGGCTACTAGAAAGAGGTGAAACACACAAAAAGAATTCCCATAGTTCAGATCGAGGTTAGATGCACACAATTCAACTTACCATAACAGGTATCATTTTAGCGCACTTTGCAAGCGTTTGAACTGGGAAGCTTACATACTTGAGGGCCTAGAGCAAGTTTATATGGTCAAAAAGAGTTCATCTAGAATTATTCAATTAGTCGCAAATTTATATTGAAAGATAAATATGCCAATTAGAATGTGCGTGGAAACAAATATCATGCTTAAGAAGGCTGAAATAAGACATGGCTTACCTCATACTGACACGTTGTGGTTAGAATGTTTGAGACAGATACGAGACAATACTTATAAACTGGAGCAACAGGATTCAACGCTTTTTTACTTGCCTAGAAGAGAAACAAAGACGAGTCAAGATCATAAAGAAAAACAAATTCAATTGTAAATCATTCCACACCTTTCCACAATGCATGTCCCAGTTCAAATCCAGCTAAAAGGCAGAAGCATAACCACCAGTGTAATCAAAATGAACCTACATGCACTCCACAAGGACTATCCCAAAATATAAAATTGCTGAAAGATATATTAACAAACAACAATTTACCAACAAAGACCCAGCAGAGACAGCTGATGTTGTAAGGCGGTTGCAGAAAACAAGAAATAGTGAGTACCTAAAATACTCCCTGTTTACCCCATAAGGGACTCTCATTATCTTCTCCTGCAAAAATAGAGGCCAATTTTAATGAATCCATTCAATACATATTATTGTTCCCGAAAGTAAAATGCCGATATCAGCAACATTTCTGAAAACTCTTATAATTCAATCCAGCATTATGAATGTTTATTGGTTTTCAAGTACTTTATACAATCAATTTACATTTCCACCTAATAATTTTTAATAAGATTGTATTAAACATTATGAGTGGTCAAAACTCAACACATTTTGTTAAATTTAAAAAAATTATCCATTCAAAATCTATTTGAATGACTGAACAGTAATCAATACATCAAATTTAGCTCTCAATTATACAATACAATACAAGTCATAACATTAAATTAAATCACATGAACCGAGATATATTTTGATAAAACGACATGCCTGTAATAGACCGTAAATGACAAGAGTAGTCATAATTCCAGAAACAGCAAAGATCATTCTCCACATCTTCTTCCCTCTCAATCCAGTTTCCGGTACCGATGGTTCGGCCATGGCCCATCAACTACTTCACACGACAAAACAAAAATAAAACGTAACCAAAAGGACATGAAATGAAGCAAAACGACAAAGTTGATGAAGGAATAGAGTGAGACCCGAAGTGCACCGGTGATTGTGGCCAATGAAGGAAGGCTGTTGATGGAGGACACGTAGCGGCGGTGCAGAGCCCAACAACTCTGCACTGTTGTGTTACAATGCTTTATAGAGATCAACTGAGTGCGTTTTACGCCGGCGACTTTTTCTTGTTCTATTTTTGTGTGGACAGTCTATAAAGTTCAGCCACATCAGCCGGCGCGCGTGTGCTGCACTAGTAAGATTAGTGATCAAGTGGTACGCTCGAGTATGATCATCACAGATGTGGACCGTTGAGATTTAGGTTGACCAAAACTCTGATGACCAATGCAGGCTTTGATGACGCTGATGTATTGCACTATTGTATATAACAAGAGGGGACTTTTCGCTTTCGTCATGATCTTGTATCATGTGGTGGAATGATTTGGTTTGTCTTTTACATTTTTTATAAATTTAATTCGTTAAAAGTATACACTTAATGGAATTAATCATGAGAGAAAGTAATAATCTTTCTTCGTATGGATATTCAAAAATACTCTTTATATGGACAATAGATTTAGAACGTGGTAAATGATATAATAATTTTAAATAAATATCACGTTAATTTAAATATAAAAATTAATAATACTATTTATTTATTTGGTAGATTTAATTAAAATTTTGTAACGGATAAAACTACTTTTGCCACGAGAAAGCTTTTAAAGATTAGCTTTCAAAAACGTTTGCCTACACTTTTACAAGAAACTTTTGTAAACTTGTCGAAACAAAAGCAAGCATTAGGGATTAGGCTTCTTACAAAATCTTCAAGAAAAAATTCCCTAAATTCGGTTCGAACAGTTGCTCACAGTACTTTAATGGTGATTAATAGGATGTGGTCGAAAATCTTCATACTTTTCAGTTAAATTTTTAACTTTTGGATAACGACTTACCAAATCCAGAACTAGAGGTGGGGCTTTTATGCTTCATATGGCACGTAACATACAAATTATGCAAGCAAAAATAACCAATAAAACAAGGACAATAAATCCTGATTCCTCAAAATAGTTGCAGAGTTTTGCAGTTTCCATGGACAGCATTTTGTTACCGCGGCCCTTGTTTCATCACATCATCATCAAGTCAAGGTATTGTTTCTTGCTAAACAACAGTCAGTTGGTGTGTATGTCTCTTGTGCATCAGTGTTGAGTCTGAGTTGCATTAATTGAGGGCTCTGTTTCAGGATTCATGGATTTGTCAGCCCTCCTCAGAGTGTAGAATTTGGGCTATACAGGCAGAGGTGGTTAAGTTCTACTTGTTGGTCTGTTGGGTTGTCAGGAACTGGAGCTGGAAATCTGTCTGATGATAGTTTTTTGAAGGAAAATGAGAATGGTTCTTTGTTGGGTGCATTTGATGAGTCTGGTTCAGCTCCATTTGGGACACTAGATGCTGAAATTACACCTGAAACTATTGATTTTTTCGTTAGCGATGCAGAGGGTGATCCTGACTGCCCAACTGAGGGCTTCTCCTCCATTGAGCAAGCACTCAACACATTACGCCAAGGAAAGGTTGGTACCAATTCTTCCTGAAGGCTGTAATTACTTAAGTTATATTTCTGTAACAGTTTCATTTGGATTGCTACTTTATGATAAAAAAAAAAAACTTAGCAAATTATACTAATCTTTTAGCATTGACTAAACAATACCAAAACTGTACAGGAAGACTAAGCATATATTAGTGCAAAATTTTGTAGTTTGTGATTGTCGTTGATGATGAAAGTGGAGATGTTGAAGGAAACCTCATCAAGGCAGCATCTCTAATAAGTTCTCAGGATGTGGCATTTATGATTAAGCATGGCTCAGGAATTGTTTCTGTAGGCATGAAAGAAGAGGATCTTGAGAGACTGAATCTTCCTTTGATGTCTCCAGAAATTGAAGATGAGGACTTTTCTGCCCCAACTTTCACAATCACAGTGGTAAACATTATGCCTACAAGCTTTGGATGCCTTTGATTTTACACCCTTCATAAACTTAGGTTGTTGCAAACATTTCGTATCAATTTTTTCAGGTTATCAATAATAAGTATCTCTGCCTTTTCAGGATGCAAAATCTGGCACATCTACTGGAGTTTCAGCTTCAGATAGGGCAACTACTGTTCTTGCTCTTTCATCTCCAGAGTCTAAGCCAGAAGACTTTAGAAGGCCGGGACATGTTTTTCCCCTGAAATATCGCAACGGTGGGATTTTAAGAAGGGCTGGTCACACTGAGGCTTCTGTTGATCTGCTTCTGTTGGCTGGCCTGCGGCCAGTTTCTGTTCTTTCCACCATTGTTGATCCAAATGATGGTTCCATATCCTCATTGATTAGTTTAAGGAAGTTGGCATTGGAGCACAGCATCCCAATTGTCTCAATAACTGATCTGATCAGGTGAGCTGAAGAAATAACCGACTTTAAGCTGTATTTTTTTTTTATTTTACGTCTTTTTATTGAAGAATGAGAGAGGGGGGGATCAAATGACTGCACATCTTGATTAATGTTAAATTGTTAATGCACATCATGCTTGTAGGTACCGGCGAAAGAGGGAAAATTTGGTAGAAAGAACAGCCATTTCTCGTTTGCCTACTAAATGGGGTCTATTTCAAGCTTACTGCTACCGCTCAAAACTAGATGGAACTGAACATGTAGCCATTGTGAAGGTAATAAAAAAATGTTCCTTATGCAAAAACATTAATTAATTTGACGTGCTATTGACTTGCACTTGCTCTATGACTGTTATTTTCCAATCATTAGGGAGACATTGGAAATGGACAAGGTGTTCTTGTAAGAGTTCATTCAGAATGTCTAACTGGGGATATATTTGGGTCAGCTAGGTGTGATTGTGGCAATCAGTTGGATTTGGCAATGCAGTTAATCGAACAAGCTGGTAAAGGAGTTGTTGTTTACCTTCGAGGTCATGAAGGAAGAGGGATCGGCCTAGGCCACAAACTTCGAGCCTATAATTTGCAGGATCAAGGTCATGACACCGTTCAGGCTAATATAGAACTTGGTTTAGCTGTTGATGGTCGGGAATATGGCATTGGTGCCCAGGTCAGTCAGACAAATCAATTTCCTTTTTATGAATAATCTCTTTGAGTCATTAAATAAAAATTTTGAACTTATGATAAATTTTGATGGTGACAGATCCTAAGAGATTTAGGGGTTCAAACCATGCGGCTAATGACAAACAATCCAGCCAAGTTCATTGGTTTGAAGGGATACGGCCTGGCAGTGATCGGCAGAGTTCCTATCTTGACACCCATTACAGATGAAAATAAAAGGTACTTGGAAACAAAACGTACCAAGATGGGTCATATTTATGGCTCGGATATAAGTGAACCATCGTCTGGATTCACCAGGTCAACTATAAATAACACAGATTCACCAGAGGAGGAACAAAAGAAGGAATGATTTATGGTCATTACAAGCTCATTCTGTAATTTATAGTTCTTTGATTTTGATTATTATTAATTCATTCTGTAGTTCAAACACATGATATAATAAATAGCAAAATAGATTACAGAGCAATAACAAGACCTTGGGGGTTCATATATTTACTTTTGACATATCCAACATCAAAATCCAAGATCCGTAAGATAATCTACTTTAACTTTCGACCTCATTCGAAGAGATGATGTTATAATTTTGCCAGGCGCTGCTAGTTACCAGTGCCGGTCCTGAAAAGTTGTTTTCTTGGTAAAAACCGTACAATGGGAATAAAATGATCCAAAGGAAAGACAGTTATGTAGTTTATCTGTTTATGCATAAAGTTTTGAGGGTATAATAGACTTTAAGTGTTTTTTTTTTTTTTTCTATCTTTTTAGAATTTTGTATTTCTTTTTAATTGTTTTTATAAACATGTGTCCTCATTTTAATTTTCTTCGATTTCATTACCAATTTAATAATCATCTTCGATTTCATTACCAGTTTAATAATTATCTTTAAATTAAAATCTTAAATAGTATACTATATTTCGATATGTCATTTTAAGCTTATACATAATTTGTAATAAAGTAATTTTCTCTTTCATACCCCATCTCTTATTTAAGCCTTCCTTTGAAAGTGCAAGTGGGAAATTTTTGGTTTTTTCGCTATCTAAAAGTGTTCCCATCTCTTTCATCTCTGTTTTTCTCTTACTCATCATGACCAGTAACGGATCCAGGATTTTTGTCAAGAGGGGCCTCTATGGCTCCGTTATTGTTTGTTAAACAACTAATTTTTAACTTTAAAAAATAACCAAAATGCAATTACGCAGTACTTTCTTACTTGAATAAATCCATGAGAAACAAATTTCTAAGTAAATGTGTTAAGTAAACCTTGAGTAAAACCTTCTTTTAATTTTTAATTTTATTTTTGGCTTCCAAAGATTATAATGTAAATTTTCACGATTTTGACCAGAGCTAATCTAAATTAAATTCAATCAAAACTTAAATCAAGTCAACGTTGTGTTGACTTTTAATATGAATTAGAAAAAAAAAAAAAAAAAAAGGAAATTTTCTTAATATAAACATATATAATAACTCAAATTTCTTTATTAATTTTGAGTATCAAAACCGTGATATTTGAATTGTAAGAAAGTGGTGGGTAAATGGTAAAGAATGACGTCCTTTAACATATAATTAAGGTTTTAATTTGGGAAAACAAGCTCATTCTTTAGACACAAAATAAACTCATAAGGTCCATGTATTTTCCTCTCAAATTACAATAAAAAACCTCAAAAAAAAAAAAAAAAAAAGAGCATGATTCAACCCTAAAATAAACTAAATTGAAATGAGCAATACACATACTTAAAAGTAATAAAACAGAAAACATAACTAATTGTGACACCTTGAAAGCTTTAACAATTTCAGTCTTTAAAAGTTTTAAGATTGAAGCATGAGGAAGAGAAAGAGAGAATGAGAGAGTAAATAATTTTGAGGATAAAATCATAAAAAGTAGGTGGAGTCGGAAGAAGAGTGGAGATAGTTTTAAACTTTTAATATAATAAGGGCTTGGAATATATATATTAATAACAAATTTTTTGTGAGCGTAGATATATGTATAATAATTCTCTTTTTTTAAAAAAAAAAAAAAAATTCGAGAATAGGTCTGAGTATATATATTAATAACAATTTTTATGAGTTTATATATTAATATATATATATATATATATATTTTTTTAAACTTGAGGGTAGCCCTGGGCCTACTCTCAAAGGGGCTAAATCCGCCCCTGACCATGACTGAATGTCATAGTAGAAGTGTGCTTGCGGAAATTAATTTGAATGTTCTTCTAACATTAGAAGCTACGAATGAAGTTGATGACATAGCTAAGGAAGTTAATAAGCATGTGAGCTGGAAAAACCTCACAAATGAACAAAGACAAGTTAATTTTGAATCTCTATTGAAGCAAAGTGTCAATGGACAATTGAATAAAAACACTACATCTGAGGTGGCTCAATTATTTTCAATTAGTATGCGTACAGTCCAATGCATTTGGCAACAAGGAAGAGAACACAGAGAATAGGTTGTTTACAAATAGGCTCAACACAAGAGAAATCCTTCCTAGACTCGGTTCAAGAGATCTGAAGAGTTAAATGACGTTTGAAAGAGAGAGAGAGGAGATGTGAAGAGTTAAATGGCATCTGAAAGAGAAAGAAAGAGAGCAGATGTGAAGAGTTTAATGGCGTTTGAAAGAGAGACAGGAGACAATGGGCCAAAGATAGAGAAAGAGAAAGAGGAGACGAGGGCCAAGTGGAAGAGAGGAGACAGGTGCCATTCGTCGAGAAAGAGAAAGAGAGTTGAGTAATTTTTTGGTCAAACATCTTTTATTTTGAAAAAAAAATAATAACTAAAACGACTATTAATCTGAAACGGAGGGAGTAATAACTAATAAGTTGTTGATAGTATTGGCTATGTTTGGCTTAGTATTTTTTTCCATATTCTGGATCCCATTCTCCAAATAATGTTTGGCACATTATTCCAGAAATATTACCCTATTTTTTTAATTACTTTTAGACCCCATAAGGTTATTAATTTCAAGAATTGAGTACCTAAAATACTCCTGTTTACCCCATAAGGACTCTCATTACTCTCCTGCAAAAATAGAGTCCAATTTTAATGAATCCATTCAATACATATTATTGTTCCCGAAAGTAAAATGCCGATATCAGCAACATTTCTGAAAACTCTTAAATTCAATCCAGCATTATGAATGTTTATTGGTTTTCAAGTACTTTATACAATCAATTTACATTTCCACCTAATAATTTTTAATAAGATTGTATTAAACATTATGAGTGGTCAAAACCAACACATTTTGTTAAATTTAAAAAAATTATCCATTCAAAATCTATTTGAATGACTGAACAGTAATCAATACATCAAATTTAGCTCTCAATATACAATACAATACAAGTCATAACATTAAATTAAATCACATGAACCGAGTATATTTTGATAAAACGACATGCCTGTAATAGACCGTAAATGACAGAGTAGTCATAATTCCAGAAACAGCAAAGATCATTCTCCCATCTTCTTCCCTCTCAATCCAGTTTCCGGTACCGATGGTTCGGCCATGGCCCATCAACTACTTCACACGACAAAACAAAAATAAAACGTAACCAAAAGGACATGAAATGAAGCAAAACGACAAAGTTGATGAAGGAATAGAGTGAGACCCGAAGTGCGCCGGTGATTGTGGCCAATGAAGGAAGGCTGTTGATGGGGGACACGTAGCGGCGGTGCAGAGCCCAACAACTCTGCACTGTTTGTTACAATGCTTTATAGAGATCAACTGAGTGCGTTTTACGCCGGCGACTTTTTCTTGTTCTATTTTTGTGTGGACAGTCTATAAAGTTCAGCCACATCAGCCGGCGCGCGTGTGCTGCACTAGTAGATTAGTGATCAAGTGGTACGCTCGAGTATGATCATCACAGTGTCTGGACCGTTGAGATTTAGTTGACCAAAACTCTGATGACCAATGCGGCTTTGATGACCTGATGTATTGTATATAACAAGAGGGACTTTTCGCTTTCGTCATGATCTTGTATCATGTGTGGAATGATTTGGTTTGTCTTTTACATTTTTATAATTTAATTCGTTAAAAGTATATTCTCAATGGAATTAATCATAGAGAAGTAATAATTAATCTTCTTCGTATGGATATTCAAAAATACTCTTTATATGGACAATAGATTTGAAACGTGGTAAATGATATAATAATTTTAAATAATATCACGTTAATTTAAATATAAAAATTATAATACTATTTATTTATTTGGTAATTTAATTAAAATTTTGAAACGTATAAAACTACTTTGCCACGAGAAAGCTTTTGAAGATTAGCTTTCAAAACGTTTGCCTACACTTTTACAAGAAACTTTTGTAAACTTCGAAACAAAAGCAAGCATAGGGATTAGGCTTCTACAAAATCTTCAAGAAAAAATTCCCTAAATTCGGTTCGAACAGTTGCTCACAGTACTGTATGGTGATTAATAGGATATGGTCGAAAATCTTCATACTTTTCAGTTAAATTTAACTTTTGGATAACGACTCACCAAATCCAGAACTAGGTGGGGCTTTTATGCTTCATATGGCACGTAACAACAAATTATGCAAGCAAAAATAACCATAAAAAACAAGGACAATAAATCCTGATTCCTCAAATAGTTCAGAGTTTTGCAGTTTCCATGGACAGCATTTTGTTACCGCGGCCCTTGTTTCCACATCACATCAGTCAAGGTATTGTTTCTTGCTAAACACAGTCATTGGTGTGTATGTCTCTTGTGCATCAGTGTTGATCTGAGTTGCATTAATTGAGGGCTCTGTTTCAGGATTCATGGATTTGTCAGCCCTCCTCAGTGTAGAATTTGAGCTATACAGGCAGAGGTGGTTAAGTTTCACTTGTTGGTCTGTTGGGTTGTCAGGAACTGAGCTGGAAATCTGTCTGATGATAGTTTTTTGAAGGAAAATGAGAATGGTTCTTTGTTGGGTGCATTTGATGAGTCTGGTTCAGCTCCATTTGGACACGGATGCTGAAATTACACCTGAAACTATTGATTTTTTCGTTAGCGATGCAGGGTGATCCTGACTGCCCAACTGAGGGCTTCTCCTCCATTGAGCAAGCACTCAACACATTACGCCAAGGAAAGGTTGGTACCATTCTTCCTGAAGGTTTAATTACTTAAATTTTATTTCTGTAACAGTTTCATTTGGATTGCTACTTTATGATAAAAAAAACTTAGCAAATTATACTAATCTTTTACCATTGACTTACAATACCAAACTGTAGAGGAAGACTAAGCATATATTAGTGCAAAATTTTGTAGTTTGTGATTGTCGTTGATGTGAAAGTGGAGATGTTGAAGGAAACCTCATCAGGCAGCATCTCTAATAATACTCAGGATGTGCATTTATTTAAGCATGGCTCAGGAATTGTTTCTGTAGGCATGAAAGAAGAGGATCTTGAGAGACTGAATCTTCCTTTGATGTCTCCAGAAATTGAAGATGAGGCATTTTCTGCCCCAACTTTCACAATCACAGTGGTAAACATTATGCCTACAAGCTTTGGATGCCTTTGATTTTACACCCTTCATAAACTTGGTTGTTGCAAACATTTCGTATCAATTTTTTCAGGTTATCAGTAATAAGTATCTCTCCTTTTCAGGATGCAAAATGGGCACATCTACTGGAGTTCAGCTTCAGATAGGGCAACTACTGTTCTGCTCTTTCATCTCCAGAGTCTAAGCCAGAAGACTTTAGGGCCAGACATGTGTTTCCCCTGAAATATCGCAACGGTGGGATTTTAAGAAGGCTGGTCACACTGAGGCTTCTGTGATCTGCTTCTTTGTTGGCTGGCCTGCGGCCAGTTTCTGTTCTTTCCACCATTGTTGATCCAAATGATGGTTCCATATCCTCATGATTAGTTTAAGGAAGTTGGCTTGGAGCACAGCATCCCAATTGTCTCAATAACTGATCTGATCAGGTGAGCTGAAGAAATAACCGACTTTAAGCTTGTATTTTTTTTTATTTACGTCTTTTATTGAGAATGAGAGAGGGGGGATCAAATGACTGCACATCTTGATTAATGTTAAATTGTTAATGCACATCATGCTTGTAGGTACCGGCGAAAGAGGGAAAATTTGGTAGAAAGAACAGCCATTCTCGTTTGCCTACAAATGGGGTCTATTTCAAGCTTACTGCTACCGCTCAAAACTAGATGAACTGAACATGTAGCCATTGTGAAGGTAATAAAAAATTTTCCTTATGCAAAAACATTAATTAATTTGACGTGCTATTGACTTGCACTTGCTCTATGACTGTTATTTTCCAATCATTAGGAGACATGGAAATGGACAAGGTGTTCTTGTAAGAGTTCTTCAGAATGTCTAACTGGGGATATATTTGGGTCAGCTAGGTGTGATTGTGGCAATCAGTTGATTTGGCAATGCAGTTAATGAACAACTGGTAAAGGAGTTGTTGTTTACCTTCGAGGTCATGAAGGAAGAGGGATCGGCCTAGGCACAAACTTCGAGCCTATAATTTGCAGGATCAAGGTCATGACACCGTTCAGGCTAATATAGAACTTGGTTTAGCTGTTGATGGTCGGGAATTGCATTGTGCCCAGGTCAGTCAGACAAATCAATTTCCTTTTTATGAATAATCTCTTTGATTCATTAACATAAAAATTTTGAACTTATGATAAATTTTGATGGTGACAGATCCAAGAGATTTAGGGGTTCAACCATGCGGCTAATGACAAACAATCCAGCCAAGTTCATTGGTTGAAGGGATACGGCCTGGCGTGATCGGCAGAGTTCCTATCTTGACACCCATTACAGATGAAAATAAAAGGTACTTGGAAACAAAACGTACCAAGATGGGTCATATTAGGCTCGGATATAAGTGAACCATTGTCTGGATTCACCAGGTCAACTATAATAACACAGATTCCCAGAGGAGGCACAAAGAAGGAATGATTTATGGTCATTACAAGCTCATTCTGTAATTTATAGTTCTTTGATTTTGATTATTATTAATTCATCTGTAGTTCAAACACATTGATATATATAGCAAATAGATTACAGAGCAATACAGAAAACCCTATTGGAAAACCTAGGTACATATCTAATAAAAAAAGTATTGATATAATGCTCCAAAAAATGAAATCTCATTAAAACAATTCTAAATATATTGAATAGGAATAATATATATCCCATTATAACAATTGCAACATAAGATAAAACAACAAAGTATTTCATCAAAACCAAATACCAGCATATCCACTTACCCAAAAAATAAAATAAAAAAAATACTAACATATCTGCCCAAAACCAACACTGGCAGAAGCAAGCACTGACTCAAGAACCATCATACTACCAAGAACACCAAATGCAAGATTTTTAACCACAACGGTTTTATTAGATTTAAGATATACAGGGAACTCACCTGTGAAGCTGAGAACACAAGAACAAAATGCTGTGTAGAATATTTGATTGTGTATTTCCATATCATAGCCTTTGAATAACTTATCTTGAAATGTGCTTGTAAAGCCATCAAACCTGTCAAGACACAACAAATGAGCATCTGGATGTACATTTTCAGCAATTTGAACTGAGTAACAAAAAGTTATAGCATTCTAATGATGAGAGAAATGAGTTCCAAGTTGATACCCAAGATAGCTGATCATCAAGGAAACACCCCATACAGTGTTTTCCCTCCCTCTGTTGTATGGACTAATGTCTGATCCAGCCTACAGTTTGAAAGGAGGAACGAAACTTGAATTAATTAAGCTTATCTCAAAATTCATTAAAACTGAATTCCAACCACAGCACATTACAAAAATATAAATCCATCTACAGATTTGTGCATCAAGAATGATAGCATCCATTCAACAAGGTAGATTAAAAAGCATTATTTGTAATAGACGGGCATTCCAACTCATCATTCATTGGGAAAATAACATCTTTCAAGTTTTTTCAAGTCATCCAACAATACATATACTGGTCAAAACTGCCTGTCTCACATACATAACTAATAATCATGCAACCAAGCAAGTTGAAGGTAAGTGAAAAAGAGTACCCATTTGTATACTCTCAATTGTCAAGGTCTGAAATGTTGGCTAAAAGAAATAAAGATTTACATGCAGGCTGCATGAATGATAATTCATCTAATTGCTTAGGTAACTTGAGTTGTATTTAACCCAATGAAGAAACAGATGCAGACTATAATAAACAGCTCCAAAAACAAACAAAACTTCAACACATACAAGGTGAGTGACTTTGAGTACTCTTGAGGTGAGTATACTCACATAAAAAGACTAATTAGTATTTTTCTAATAAGTTAATTATGTAGAGAAGAAGCCTGATTTCAATTATTCATGAAGGTGGTCAGACTGAGAATTAGAGAGGACAATGAATTACCGGGAATAATATAAATACTGAACAACCCAGTGTCACTAGAAAAGCAAACAAATAGTCAGGTCCCTTGTATCTCTTTTGCATGATGATAGTCCCCCAAATCTGTAAAAGAGACAGAGACGAATAAGTGTGGGAAGTTTACCAGTTAAAAATTGGTAATAAGAAGCATGGCATAAAAAAAATAACAAAGAACAAAAAGTTAGACATTGCATATTTTACTAAAAAGGATGGCAGTAATAGAAATCATCTTTAAATTAAGAGACATATAGCATTTGTATAATGGAAAATTTTCAATTGTAAGATAACCATTATGTATAGGGAACACTTGGAATCTGCTTCATTCTAAAGGCCACAAGAGTGATACCAAACAGCCTCTATCAAAATACTTCTTTAAGGGAAAAATTACCAGCTATTTCCCTGAAATACTGGTTATCTACACTGCTAAAGCTCAAACAAATTATAAAACTGGATTATGAGAATCAACCCATGAACAAAAATATCCAAGGAGAAATAAAAAATAAGATATACAAGGCTACTAGAAACAGGTGAAACACACAAAAAAAATTCCCATAGTTCAGATCGAGGTTAGATGCACACAATTCAACTTACCATAACAGGTATCATTTTAGCGCACTTTGCAAGCGTTTGAACTGGGAAGCTTACATACTTGAGGGCCTGGAGCAAGTTTGTATGGTCAAAAAAAGTTCATCTAGAATTATTCAATTAGTCGCAAATTTATATTGAAAGATAAATATGCCAATTAGAATGTGCGTGGAAACAAATATCATGCTTAAGAAGGCTGAAATAAGACATGGCTTACCTCATACTGACACGTTGTGGTTAGAATGTTTGAGACAGATACGAGACAATACTTATAAACTGGAGCAACAGGATTCAACGCTTTTTTACTTGCCTAGAAGAGAAACAAAGACGAGTCAAGATCATAAAGAAAAACAAATTCAATTGTAAATCATTCCACACCTTTCCACAATGCATGTCCCAGTTCAAATCCAGCTAAAAGGCAGAAGCATAACCACCAGTGTAATCAAAATGAACCTACATGCACTCCACAAGGACTATCCCAAAATATAAAATTGCTGAAAGATATATTAACAAACAACAATTTACCAACAAAGACCCAGCAGAGACAGCTGATGTTGTAAGGCGGTTGCAGAAAACAAGAAATAGTGAGTACCTAAAATACTCCCTGTTTACCCCATAAGGGACTCTCATTATCTTCTCCTGCAAAAATAGAGGCCAATTTTAATGAATCCATTCAATACATATTATTGTTCCCGAAAGTAAAATGCCGATATCAGCAACATTTCTGAAAACTCTTATAATTCAATCCAGCATTATGAATGTTTATTGGTTTTCAAGTACTTTATACAATCAATTTACATTTCCACCTAATAATTTTTAATAAGATTGTATTAAACATTATGAGTGGTCAAAACTCAACACATTTTGTTAAATTTAAAAAAATTATCCATTCAAAATCTATTTGAATGACTGAACAGTAATCAATACATCAAATTTAGCTCTCAATTATACAATACAATACAAGTCATAACATTAAATTAAATCACATGAACCGAGATATATTTTGATAAAACGACATGCCTGTAATAGACCGTAAATGACAAGAGTAGTCATAATTCCAGAAACAGCAAAGATCATTCTCCACATCTTCTTCCCTCTCAATCCAGTTTCCGGTACCGATGGTTCGGCCATGGCCCATCAACTACTTCACACGACAAAACAAAAATAAAACGTAACCAAAAGGACATGAAATGAAGCAAAACGACAAAGTTGATGAAGGAATAGAGTGAGACCCGAAGTGCACCGGTGATTGTGGCCAATGAAGGAAGGCTGTTGATGGAGGACACGTAGCGGCGGTGCAGAGCCCAACAACTCTGCACTGTTGTGTTACAATGCTTTATAGAGATCAACTGAGTGCGTTTTACGCCGGCGACTTTTTCTTGTTCTATTTTTGTGTGGACAGTCTATAAAGTTCAGCCACATCAGCCGGCGCGCGTGTGCTGCACTAGTAAGATTAGTGATCAAGTGGTACGCTCGAGTATGATCATCACAGATGTGGACCGTTGAGATTTAGGTTGACCAAAACTCTGATGACCAATGCAGGCTTTGATGACGCTGATGTATTGCACTATTGTATATAACAAGAGGGGACTTTTCGCTTTCGTCATGATCTTGTATCATGTGGTGGAATGATTTGGTTTGTCTTTTACATTTTTTATAAATTTAATTCGTTAAAAGTATACACTTAATGGAATTAATCATGAGAGAAAGTAATAATCTTTCTTCGTATGGATATTCAAAAATACTCTTTATATGGACAATAGATTTAGAACGTGGTAAATGATATAATAATTTTAAATAAATATCACGTTAATTTAAATATAAAAATTAATAATACTATTTATTTATTTGGTAGATTTAATTAAAATTTTGTAACGGATAAAACTACTTTTGCCACGAGAAAGCTTTTAAAGATTAGCTTTCAAAAACGTTTGCCTACACTTTTACAAGAAACTTTTGTAAACTTGTCGAAACAAAAGCAAGCATTAGGGATTAGGCTTCTTACAAAATCTTCAAGAAAAAATTCCCTAAATTCGGTTCGAACAGTTGCTCACAGTACTTTAATGGTGATTAATAGGATGTGGTCGAAAATCTTCATACTTTTCAGTTAAATTTTTAACTTTTGGATAACGACTTACCAAATCCAGAACTAGAGGTGGGGCTTTTATGCTTCATATGGCACGTAACATACAAATTATGCAAGCAAAAATAACCAATAAAACAAGGACAATAAATCCTGATTCCTCAAAATAGTTGCAGAGTTTTGCAGTTTCCATGGACAGCATTTTGTTACCGCGGCCCTTGTTTCATCACATCATCATCAAGTCAAGGTATTGTTTCTTGCTAAACAACAGTCAGTTGGTGTGTATGTCTCTTGTGCATCAGTGTTGAGTCTGAGTTGCATTAATTGAGGGCTCTGTTTCAGGATTCATGGATTTGTCAGCCCTCCTCAGAGTGTAGAATTTGGGCTATACAGGCAGAGGTGGTTAAGTTCTACTTGTTGGTCTGTTGGGTTGTCAGGAACTGGAGCTGGAAATCTGTCTGATGATAGTTTTTTGAAGGAAAATGAGAATGGTTCTTTGTTGGGTGCATTTGATGAGTCTGGTTCAGCTCCATTTGGGACACTAGATGCTGAAATTACACCTGAAACTATTGATTTTTTCGTTAGCGATGCAGAGGGTGATCCTGACTGCCCAACTGAGGGCTTCTCCTCCATTGAGCAAGCACTCAACACATTACGCCAAGGAAAGGTTGGTACCAATTCTTCCTGAAGGCTGTAATTACTTAAGTTATATTTCTGTAACAGTTTCATTTGGATTGCTACTTTATGATAAAAAAAAAAAACTTAGCAAATTATACTAATCTTTTAGCATTGACTAAACAATACCAAAACTGTACAGGAAGACTAAGCATATATTAGTGCAAAATTTTGTAGTTTGTGATTGTCGTTGATGATGAAAGTGGAGATGTTGAAGGAAACCTCATCAAGGCAGCATCTCTAATAAGTTCTCAGGATGTGGCATTTATGATTAAGCATGGCTCAGGAATTGTTTCTGTAGGCATGAAAGAAGAGGATCTTGAGAGACTGAATCTTCCTTTGATGTCTCCAGAAATTGAAGATGAGGACTTTTCTGCCCCAACTTTCACAATCACAGTGGTAAACATTATGCCTACAAGCTTTGGATGCCTTTGATTTTACACCCTTCATAAACTTGGGTTGTTGCAAACATTTCGTATCAATTTTTTCAGGTTATCAATAATAAGTATCTCTGCCTTTTCAGGATGCAAAATCTGGCACATCTACTGGAGTTTCAGCTTCAGATAGGGCAACTACTGTTCTTGCTCTTTCATCTCCAGAGTCTAAGCCAGAAGACTTTAGAAGGCCGGGACATGTTTTTCCCCTGAAATATCGCAACGGTGGGATTTTAAGAAGGGCTGGTCACACTGAGGCTTCTGTTGATCTGCTTCTGTTGGCTGGCCTGCGGCCAGTTTCTGTTCTTTCCACCATTGTTGATCCAAATGATGGTTCCATATCCTCACTGATTAGTTTAAGGAAGTTGGCATTGGAGCACAGCATCCCAATTGTCTCAATTACTGATCTGATCAGGTGAGCTGAAGAAATAACCGACTTTAAGCTGTATTTTTTTTTTATTTTACGTCTTTTTATTGAAGAATGAGAGAGGGGGGGATCAAATGACTGCACATCTTGATTAATGTTAAATTGTTAATGCACATCATGCTTGTAGGTACCGGCGAAAGAGGGAAAATTTGGTAGAAAGAACAGCCATTTCTCGTTTGCCTACTAAATGGGGTCTATTTCAAGCTTACTGCTACCGCTCAAAACTAGATGGAACTGAACATGTAGCCATTGTGAAGGTAATAAAAAAATGTTCCTTATGCAAAAACATTAATTAATTTGACGTGCTATTGACTTGCACTTGCTCTATGACTGTTATTTTCCAATCATTAGGGAGACATTGGAAATGGACAAGGTGTTCTTGTAAGAGTTCATTCAGAATGTCTAACTGGGGATATATTTGGGTCAGCTAGGTGTGATTGTGGCAATCAGTTGGATTTGGCAATGCAGTTAATCGAACAAGCTGGTAAAGGAGTTGTTGTTTACCTTCGAGGTCATGAAGGAAGAGGGATCGGCCTAGGCCACAAACTTCGAGCCTATAATTTGCAGGATCAAGGTCATGACACCGTTCAGGCTAATATAGAACTTGGTTTAGCTGTTGATGGTCGGGAATATGGCATTGGTGCCCAGGTCAGTCAGACAAATCAATTTCCTTTTTATGAATAATCTCTTTGAGTCATTAAATAAAAATTTTGAACTTATGATAAATTTTGATGGTGACAGATCCTAAGAGATTTAGGGGTTCGAACCATGCGGCTAATGACAAACAATCCAGCCAAGTTCATTGGTTTGAAGGGATACGGCCTGGCAGTGATCGGCAGAGTTCCTATCTTGACACCCATTACAGATGAAAATAAAAGGTACTTGGAAACAAAACGTACCAAGATGGGTCATATTTATGGCTCGGATATAAGTGAACCATCGTCTGGATTCATCAGGTCAACTATAAATAACACAGATTCACCAGAGGAGGAACAAAAGAAGGAATGATTTATGGTCATTACAAGCTCATTCTGTAATTTACAGTTCTTTGATTTTGATTATTATTAATTCATTCTGTAGTTCAAACACATGATATAATAAATAGCAAAATAGATTACAGAGTAATAACAAAACCTTGGGGGTTCATATATTTACTTTTGACATATCCAACACCAAAATCCAAGATCCGTAAGATAATCTACTTTAATTTTCAGCTCATTTGAAGAGATGATGTTATAATTTTGCCAGGCGCTGCTAGTTACCAGTGCCGGTCCTGAAAAGTTGTTTTCTTGGTAAAAACCGTGAAATGGGAATAAAATGATCGTAGTGAGTAATGCTACCGTCACCGAAATAGTGTACCAAATAATGTGGCAAAATCATGACCATTGATTAATATTAAGTTAAAATTAATTAATGATCAGGATTTTGTCACGTCATTCAGTACATAAATTCGGTGCACTATCGTTGATGGCTATATTATTTTTCTTATGTAGTTTATCTGTTTATGCATAAAGTTTTGAGGGTATAATAGACTTTATTTTTTTTGTCTTTTTAGAATTTTGTATTTCTTTTTAATTGTTTTTACAAACATGTGTCCTCATTTTAATTTTCTTCAATTTCATTACAAGTTTAATAATTATCTTTAAATTAAAATCTTAAATAGTATATTATATATCAATATTTTAATATAGCACTCTCTCGTTTCACAATAATAGCCACTTTAAGCTTATACACAATTTGTAATAAAGTAATTTTCTTTCTCCTACTCCATCTCTTACTGACTCCTCCCTTTGAAAGTGTAAGTGGGAAATTTTTGGTTTTCCCACTATCTAAAAGTGTGAAAGTGTACTACTCTTCCATCTCTTTCATCTCTGTGTTTTCTTACTCACCATGATTGAACAATGTCATAGTAGAAATGTGCCTTGGGGAAATCAATTTGAATGTTCTTCCAACATTAGAAGCTACAATGAAGTTGATGACATAGTTAAGTAAGTTAACACGCATGTGAGCCAGAAAAACCTCACAAATGAACAAAGACAAGTTATTTTTTAATCTCTGTTGAAGCAAAGTGTCAATGGATAATTGAAGAAAAACAGTACATCTAAGGCGGCTTAATTATTTTCAATCAATATACGTACAATCTAATGCATTTGGCAACAAGGAAGAGAACATAGAGAATAGGCTGTTTACAAATAGGGTCAGCACAAGAGAAATCCTTTTTAGACTCGGTTCAGGATTTCTGAAGAGTTAAATGACGTTTGAAAGAGGAGATATGAAGAGTTAAATAGCATCTGAAAGAGAAAGAAAGAGAGCAGATGTGAAGAGTTTAATGGCATTTGAAAGAGAGACAGGAGCCAAAGATAGTAAAAGAGAAAGAGGAGACGAGGCCAAGTGGAAGAGAGGAGACATGAGCCATTCGTCGAGAAAAAGAAAGAGAGTTAATTAACTTTTTGGTCAAACGTCTTTTATTTTGGAAAAAAAAAATAAGTTTAAAACGATTATTAATCTGAAACGAAGGGAGTAATAATTAATAAGTTGTTGATAGTATAGTATTAATATCCTATCATAAATAAATGTCATTGTTTTACCAGGATAAGGACATTAACGTCATTGTCATGAAGAGTTTACACAAATTACACCCATCCAATGTACAGCAACACTAACCACTTGACTTGAAATTGATTTCAAAATAAAATAAAATTATAAAAAAAAAAAAGATATTTTTTAAGGTTTCCCCAAAAAATATTTCACACTTAAAAGTGTTCGGCCCAACCTGCTAGCCTGGTCCAAACGTATCCCTCCGTTTGTAAATTGATAATAAAATTTAAAAATTCTGGTAATTTAATTAGCCCCTCTCTTTATAAACCCTATCCCCTCTCGGTTCTCCAAACCCTAGAGCCGGCTGTTCTGCTTCGGTGCTTCCCATCCACAGGTGTCTCTCTATGTCTATATCTCTGCCTATCTAATTCGTTATATTTATTTGTAGAGACTAACCAGTAAATGCGGCATTGTTTATGTGGTTGTGTTAGGGTTTAGTCAAGGCTTCTTCTTCTTCAGCGACCAATGGCTCCTCCTAAGGGTATACTGCTCTCCATTTGTGTTATATTACTTCTTTTTAGCTCTAATGAACTTCGCACGCATTTAATTTTTTTTTAATATTTGCTTTTGTATGTTCATTCTGGTTTTAATTTCTTTTTTCCCTTCTCTGTTTGGTTGCTGAATTGAAATTAGTTTGAACAAGTGCCAATACTTATCTCAACGTTTTTCAATGGGAGGTAGAATGGTAAAGTTGTTTTCTCACGCGTTCCAGGGGATTATAATGTGAAACAGCAATAATTAGAGAAGCCAAATTTGAATTGAATAAATAAAGAAGCAAAATCTGATGTAGCCTAGGAATAAATATAGTATTATAATCGCAGATTAACAACTTAGTTATTGGAATAGATAATGTATCTTAATCCATTAGCACCATGTCATAGTGGACCAATACTCATAGTGTTAGTTCACTGGTTTTACGTTCTTCCTGGAGTCTTGGCTTTAGTCGAACTTGTTGCACGGCAAATACTACAGTTTTAGATGTATTTAAATTTTGAGGTAGTTCTATTCCTAAAATTGTTTTCTTGGGGGCATACCAGAGATTTACATTTAAAGGGGTATGGTGTGGAAAGCAATAAGCAGGAGAGGAAAATGTCAATTGAGAAAAAGCAAGATAGAACATATCGTAGCTGCTAGTAGCTCTCTTATTACATATTGATGGTTCTTAGAAGAATTAATCAGTTGGCCATAGCAATAAATAATGTATCATAAGCACTTAGCTTTAATCTTTGGAAAGTGGTTAAAATTATATTCTGCTGGTATGGTGTAATGAGAAGTGCGGAAGTATTAGCTTGACTTGTTGCATGAATAGTTTTTCTATTGTTACTGATGATTTCAAGTTTTTTTTGTATTTTTGTTTTTATTTTTATTTTTTGTCTAAAACTAAAGGATTGGGTTTTTCTTCAAATTCTGTCAGTTTATTATAAGAGTAAAATTGAGGTGTGCATATATATTAAACATTAGAGTGGTTTGCATCCTGTGTAGGTGATACAAAAAAGGCTGATCCAAAGGCACAGGCCTTGAAGGCTGCAAAGGCCGTGAAATCTGGACCAACCTTTAAGAAGAAGGCCAAGAAGATCCGAACATCTGTTACATTTCACCGGCCGAAGACATTGAAGAAGGACAGGAACCCCAAGTACCCTCGCATCAGTGCTGCACCAAGGAACAAACTTGATCATTATCAAATTCTTAAGTATCCCCTCACTACTGAGTCTGCCATGAAGAAGATTGAAGATAACAATACTTTGGTTTTCATTGTTGACATTCGTGCTGACAAGAAGAAGATAAAGGATGCAGTCAAGAAGATGTATGATATTCAGGCGAAGAAAGTGAATACCTTGATCAGGTGAGCCTTTCTCATTTGCTTCATCATTATATTGCTCTTGTAAAACCTTTTCACTTCTTGACCAGTATAGGTCATTCACTATAAATGGCAGTAACCATCCAACAGCTGGTTATGTTTGTGGTGTTTAATTATTTTTGAATGACTGCGTAATCATTCTTTTTGTCTATTTTGGAAGGGATTCTAGAAGCAGGATATAGACATCTCAAGTAATAATCATGCAGTCTGAGCAGATCATAAATTTGAATAGAATTTTTCTTTTAGTACCACTTAGATTATTCGTGTCTCAAGAATAAAGTTGACATGCTTCAGGCAGTGTCGGAGTGCTCTTGCTGAGATGTTTGACATAGATGTGCCATACCAATGTGTCTGTCCTGTTTGGTCCAATCCTTGTTCATCCTAAGTCATGAAGGTTTTAGGTGGTTAGACATTCTTAGGAGTTTTCTGTGGTGATAAACTAACTCTAAATTGTCAGAAAGTAGCCTTCTTGCTAGAACAGTGACCATGTTGTATACTTGTTTGTGAAGTCGTATTTTCATGATGCTTTATATTTGTTTTTGTTTTGCATTGAGTTTTCTATCAATGTGTGCTTTTTTCTGGTTTTAATGAAAACTTCTTGCCTTGTTATCCTGCACAATTTTGGGTTCGCTTTTTTGGACTTGGTTATCTTTTAAATTATTAGTTTTGATGTTTGGAGATTATATTAATCAGAGATTGAAAAGAAATCTTCATATTGTTTTATTTATATACGACTTTCTGTAGATTGGTGGGCTTTTATATAGATGTCCAAATCAGATGCTGCCATCTGATGTTTGTCGTGGATTTTTATTATCATGGCCATATACTTCATATATTAAACTTAAGCGGGATACGGTTGCTTATATCCTTCGCTATATTGTATGACCAATCCTTGTGAATTTAACTATTGTGGCGCAGGCCTGACGGTACAAAGAAGGCTTATGTCAGGTTGACACCGGATTATGATGCATTGGATGTGGCAAACAAAATTGGCATTATTTAAGATAGGAACTCTTTTCATCACATTTTTCATTTTGTTTTAGGCCAAAGAGTAAGACAGTATGTTGAGACCCATCGGGGAACTTTGCAGATTGATCTTGTAAACTTGTGTTTACTGCTGGTTAATTTTTTCAGATTGTTTTTTTTGACAGATTCTGGGACATATAAATTTTAATTTTAATTCACTTATTTCTGGAATTTGTTGATTGTGTTTCCTGTGCAAAATCACATGTTAATGAATGGTGCTGATCTTCTATTCAAATGTCTAGATGAAATCACTTGATTGCCTAGCTACCTGTGTGTATATATCTTTTTCCCTTTAATAAAAACACATTATAAAAATGAAACTTAAACTAATGTAATTTGAATTAGAATTTTAACACTATCAAAATCGAGAAGATGGTATATCCATAAATAATCTGTACAACAGTATAATCAATAATACTCAAATTCTCATCTCCCATGTTGTGTTATTTTATGAGCTGCTAAATATGATAATAACAAACAGAAGGATAAGATATCTCTTATGTATAACTTCATTCATTGATTATTTATTTTCAAACAGAAATCCAACCATTATTTATTCTTTCCCCAATCCCACATCTTTCAGTTAATATGTGACTGAAATACGAGCCTACGGCTGACTTTTTTATCAATGAAAACCATCAATTTCTTTGTCTCACAAATATTTAATGTCCCCAATCCCACATCGTTCCGTTATTATGGAAATTGGGGAATATAAAGAAGGGGAACAGTAAAGTCCGCAACGCCGCAAGAGAATGTGAGCGGGCCTTGGATCAATAATTGGTCGGGCTCAGGAAAGTCCCCGGGCCCTCTTCTGCAGAAATGCAGCCTCGAGAACGAGAATTCCATGAACGAAATTCTCTCACATGTGTGAGCGGCTGAGACACGTGTGGAGCCGTTTGAATTTCTTTCATGCTCACTTGGCCGATAACACAGTTATTCACATGGTTGTCCTTCAACCAACTGAACGGGGCTTACCATCTTGTGGCACATTTTTTTTTTTTTTTTAATATTTTAAGTTTGATTTAAATTTAAAAAAACTCGGTTTTAATTCTACAAGCATCCCTTACTCAAAAACCGGTTTGATGAAAAGAAATCAGCTATTACCTGTAGATTCATATCTAAGTCCCCCGGCTCTGTAGCACTGCAGTGCGCAGAATTTGATAATGCGTTGCTCTTTCATGAAAAAAATCTTCCCTCCTTAAATTCTCTAGTAATGTATACATAGACACTGAACATTCATGTGGAATAGTAAGATCAAATGCTTGTGATCTGCAGAGTGGGCAATTTGAGTGAGAATGAAACCAAGTGTCAATGCAAGGAATGTGAAATGCATGACTGCAGTTTGGTAGATGTTTTAGCCATTCCCCTTCTTCAAATTCACCCAAACAAACTCCACACTCAGAGTTTCTTGGTTGCAGTTCTTCTTCTTCTTCTTTATTAATATTCTTCTTGAACTGAGTGATAGGAAGAGAGTGTATGATGGATGATTCCAGCCCATGACTGTTAAACTGTAGAGAAGGATCATCAAAATTGGCCTCATTTAGTAGCTGTCTTTGATCCGGGTTTCTAGAGTTTCCCCTATTAAACGCGCAGCAGCAGAGTTTCTTTAAATAATTGTAGTAACTAAACAAGAGGAAGATGGTACAAGTAAGAGCAACCAGAGAAACCACTAACGGATTCCAACTTGGTGGTTTATATATTGGAGCTGGAGATGGACTTGAAGACATATTAGGCTCAAGTTTTCAGATAAATAAGCTAAAGATGATAGCTTAAAAATTCTCATTTCTGCTAAGTTTGTTGGGAAGAGCTTCTAGGAATGTCAGAAGTATTGAGATGTCCGGAACTATTAAATTATATTAACTTTAATTTGGTGATAAAATTAAGGGACACCTTAGTTAATCAGCTGAACAATGTGCTCTCGATGTTCCAATCTGTAAACCATTAATGGAGATGATACCGAAGTTGTTGTTATGCAAAGGTCAAACTGTTACCTCTGCAATTAAAAAACTGTCCTTATCCTGAAAGCTCTTCTCCTGTATTCCTGAGTTTGCCAGAAAATTATGATGAGCTTGCATGTGAATTTGTCACATGAGATGTGATATTGGAGCTGCACAGCGAAATTGAATTTTTGGTTAAAGTCATGTGGGCATATCTCAATCAATAAACGTTTTTGTTCATCTGACCAAATACAATGATACAAATAAAAATTCCACTATTCCTTGAGAAAATAATTCAATTGTTGACTGGCAAGTTTATCCTTTAGGCTGCTCAAGTCTCTGAAGAGTTACAAACTTGTACGTTTTGTTCCCACCATAAAAAAACAAGCATAAAACAAATAAAACATCTAAATCATAATCTAGGAATCAAATCAAAATTTTATTAGAATATGAAATAACATTAAAAAAGCTGGAAAATCAGCTATTCTTATGCAATATCACCTAACTATTTCTTGGAATGAAAGCAACAGCTTATATCATAGCTCCAGCCCAGGTTCAGCTAGACCTAATTAAACAAACTTCATTTTTCCCGTTGTTTTCCAGGGCGTAATGATGGAAATCTTCAACCACTGTATGTATGGAGGTCAAATTCTGATAACATCAGCATCAGCTTTACCCACCATTCCAAAACTGTCTTCTCCATAGGTTAGGACTAATTTCTTTTCCCAGTTTTTCATCAATCTTATCACTCACTCCAGTCACACTTTATCTTCTTCAACGTATCTTCAGTGCCTCATTTTGGTCTAATGACAGGTTCAGGTAAGCCCATATCGCCCATTCCAAATATATCAACCTCGCACAGCTCTTTTTTTTCCTTCAATAGTTTTGTGGTAATGAATGTATAAGGCATCAAATCAACATGTTCAACTTGCTCAATTACTGCTATCAACAATGAGTACCCACCATTGTTATCTTTTTTATGGATAAACGAAAACCCATCTCATACTGCCAGATCATGTCGCCTTTTTCAATCCTTATGCTTCATTTCATTGGCTTAAAATTTTCTTTCATAATTTCGGTGCTTTTTAAAATTATTATCAGAAAGAAAGTCAGAAACAGTTAACAGCCCTCAATCCCCTTGCTGAAGATGGTTTCACAAGTACAATTTCAAGGCTAAACACTTAGGTTTCGAACGCAAAAAGCTGGATTTATTTGTTGGCTTCGTTAGGAAATCAGTTGAGCTACTCTCGTCAGTAGGCCCCTGATACAAGGATGCTCTAGAGCAAAATGCCAAATCTGATAGTACATAAATAAACAGGCCGTTTGAAAAGTGTTTAATTTATAACATCTGATTCCAATTAGTACTACTGGTGATTATTTAACTTATATATTACTTAATACATCATCATATTTAGTTATTTAAAAAATGATATTGAAATACCATGCACCATTCAAATCCATTGTCATAAAAGTGGGGTTATCTTTCTCACTAAGCAAGAGAAAAAATCCAGCAGCTTTACTGTACAACCACCACTTTGTAACTGGTGAAACAAATGTTACCAAGACACACCATGGAATAAACTAAGTTAAAATGCTATGTCTAGTTTAAAACCCGAAAATATATCACATTTACACCATCAACCACTAAAAATTAATTTTTACAAGACAGAATCAAAGGCTACAGTCTCAATATTGAAACCTTTGTCGCTTGCTGGTTGGTATTTGGGTGTTAATGCTAGCACCTGCAGTTAAGAGCATCCCATTACTCTGAGCAGCAGCAGCAGGACATGTCGAAAAATTTAACATGGATGTAGAGCACATTTGAGAAGAGACACGAGACATCTGAAGATAGGATGATGAGGAATTCAATGACCTTTGAGCAACACAGCCTGAATTAGCAGTCGGTTTCTGATTAATGCTCATAGTTTCAGAACCCTTTATGGAAAACGGTGGAATTTTGAAAGGTTGCAGAGGAGGAGGATTTCTCCATCGCGGTAAAGGGCCAGCAACGAGAAGAGTCTGAAGAAGAGGTCCAGCTTCCATCACGGATTGCAGTAGTTTCCCTTTTGGAGGCAGAGTTTTTCCCTTAACAAGACTGTCTAGAACTGCAGCAACCGGATCAATTTTGGTTACTCCTGAAGAGACTACTCCTGTTGGCATAGAACCACTGTAGTCATGGACAAAAGGCTGGTTAACAAAATTCAAGTTTCTTGAATCAGCCATTTTAATGTTGGAGAAATCCGGGGATGAAACAGCATCAAAAAAGGAATCAACAGGAGATGATCCATGTGACTGGGGATTATATGTATCTGATTGACTATTAGATTCAGTTATGCTTGAATTTGCTTTTGTTGGTACAACTACAAGAGGACTTTCATGTGGGAGATGACAAAGAATATTGGGGTGAAATTCAGTTGGGCTTGAAGGCATGAACTTATTCAGTAATTTTTGCAATTGATCTTTAGCTTCATTTCTTTCTTGATAAGCAACCTTGAGAAGATTGAGTAAATGCTTAACCTCCTCCTTATGCTTCCTCAACGCCTCGTTTGCTTCCATTTTCACAGTCTCCAGTTCAACTGTGGTGTACAGAAGCTTCTGATTCAGTTCATCAAAATTCTGCCAACATAAATCAGGCCGGTTAGTTTGATGAATTTTTTCAGTTTAGATAGTAGAAGAGTGCAAATTAAAATAAAGGAAACATTACCAATATAGATTAAACTTAACTGAAAATCATAGATCTTCATTAGTAGGAAGATAGAATCTAAATAAATGGAAAATCATTTAAGAAGTTAGGATAAATCATGTATTAAAAAATTGGGCCCATTTACATACCAACTTCTTCTAGTCAAAATAATTATTTGTTTTCAAATTACATTAAATTAATAGTAAAACAAAAGTACAAAGGAAATAGATGGGATTGACATGAACACAACATTCAATACTAGTAAAGACATTAGTCCCCATTGCTTTTGCCATGAAATATCACAAGTTCCCAACCATACCCACATGTTATTACTCCAAGATTCAACTAGTTCATGTTCTGTTCAAAACAGGACAGAACAAATGCACATTCATACCAGACAGAATTACACTAGACATGTCCTATAAATATTTTCGTATTAATAAATTAATCACAACAGAAAAAATGGCCTCAGATGACGCTACTACACTCCAAAAGCCATATAAAATAAATAAAATAACTTGGATTGTTAATAATAATAAAAAAAAAAAGGAAATATATATATTTCATGACACTATAACTCCATTATTTTCAAACAAAAAACTTTGGAGTCAAAAGCTATCTCTATCATACAACACAGTACTTAGGAAATATGCAGAAGAGACAAAAATTTGCCTCATTTCTCAGGAAAGATATTGCTCCTTTGAAGACTAAAAGGTTCTAAATGATAAAAAAAAAAAAAAAATGAACACATGGAATTAACAAGAAGAAGAATGGATCATGTCAGCTTCGTATGACAGGTTATATATACCAAGTATAAACTTCACAAAGAGGAACTGAAACATTATCTAACAGGTAAATGAAGGAAACCTTGAGTATAATACAATCACACAATGAATAATCACTAAAAGAAACTCCATAATTGAAGTGAAAAACTAAAACCTTGAATGTGAAAACAAAAGAAAACATAACCCAGATGAAGAAATGAAGTGAAAGAAGCAACGAGTGAGACAAAAGAAAGATGAACAATTAACGCACCTCTTGATAACTCCATAAAGAACCCAACTCCTCCATAGTTAAAAAAATAGAGAAAATGAGAGAGAGAGAGAGAGAGAGAGAGAGAGAGAGAGAGGGAGAGAAGAAAAATGAAAAGTGGTAGAGGGTGTTAGAAGAAGACTTAAGAGTGATTTTATAGAGCAAATGAGAGACAAATAAGACAAAGATAAAAAGAAAGAGACAAAAAGAGAGGGAGAGAGGTTTCCTTCTCTTAAAAAACTTCTATAGAAAAAGAGTCTTTATCATGGAAAGAAAATTAAAACCAAAAAAAACCTTCCAATTAAAAGAGCTTCAAGATTCCATATATTTTTACTAATGTCTCTGTTGTAATATTAAATCCTCACCCTTTGTTTCAGGACTCTTGCCTCTTATTTCAAATTTAATTTTCAAATAATATATTTGTTTTCTTGATGGTCAATGACTAAATCCAGTTAGATTTTCCTTATATATTCTACTCCTTCCCTCCTAAAACTGCTGTTTTCCATAATAACAGCTTTACGCGGTTTTGGTTTTACATCAGCTAAATATCTTTCCATAAATACCCTTCTTTTCAAATAACATTTCCCTCTCCCGTCTTTTCAGGATCCATTGCGTCATGAATCCATGATGTGAAGTTTTCTATTATCAGATTTCACATTTTCTAGATTATTAATAAACAGTAAACACCCTTCCTAGAACCATATATTATACATCCGGATCGTTACTTTGCAAAGTAAATTTTCTGTTTTTCCTTTTATATATCTTGATAATGATTATATTTATACCAGGGGTGTGAAATAAAGATTAGACAATGATTTATCATATAGTTTTTTTTTAATAGAAAAATCCCGTTGCCTCACCTTACAAACATGTTGGCAAGTCCATGTGAGTTGCCTCCATAAGAACAAAGAACATGAAAGTGTTGAAAGAAGAGACAAAGAAGCTCTAAAATATTATAAAATTTTGAGTTTGGAATTATTCTTTTATATGAAAGATGGACGGACCCCATTTTCTTATATTATCTTCCTAGGGATGTCCTAGATTGCCTTATAATGAACTGCCCGATGAAACTGAAATCAACCATATAATAGTTGACTTATTATGTAGTTTATATTCTTATTCTATTTCTATATTCAATATTCAATATGTTGTCCCTTTTTTTCTATACTCTATTGTTTTATTTCATGGCCTTATAGCCTATTTACCTATCCTTTATATAGCATATTTGTATTGTACCCCTACTATTATATTAAAAACGAAGTGATAACTTTTATGTTTCATGTATACATACAATGTTTTCTACAGTTTCTTGTGTTTCTAAATCTATACGTTTGGGAAAACCAGAATTGTATATAGTATTTGCAATTTCAACATGAAAAAAAGGTTGAAGATTTCTAAACCATCACCGATTTTATGGTGGGTGAGAGAATTAAGCATTGGATAATGCCAATTGACTAGGCTTAAATCAGGGTGAAAATTTATTTCTCATTCTAATCCTCATATATTTTTCTTTCCTTCCAAAATAAAACTTCTGTTATGATATTATCCAATACATTTTTATGTGATTATGAAGTTTTCTTGTTTATTTTTAGAGTAAACAACTTTTTCCCACACAAATAATAGCTTAATGACACTTACCCACCCACAAACTTTTATAATATCATTTTACTACCCAAATTTATATTCCGTTTTCGATTTCGACATCTTGTGACCTCACACCACCACAACTATTCTCTTCCCCGATCATCATTCACCAAAACCACTCAAACCCTACTCTCATCGACCTCGTCAGTCGTTGGCAATCAAGCAATTAGGGTTTGCGCAACCCTTCCTCTTAAATCAAATTATGACTAATCCCAACCACCAAAATCCAACCTTTCACCATCAAAAGACTCATCGTCTCTCCTCTTCAAAAACCATAACAGTCTGGACCGAGTTTGCTTTCTATTTGCCAACGGTATATAAATTTGGATAGTAAAATGGTATTTTAAAAGTTGTGGGTGGAAAAATATCATTAAACCATTATTTGGGTGTGAAAAGGTCATTAACTCTTATTTTTATTATTTAATTTCAAAATAAAAAATCTAAATTTGAAAAGTATTCCAAAAATTCGTGGAATATGTATATTTTTAAAAAAATTCTTAATATTAAAAACCTCATCAAAAGGACAAAACGATGAATTAATTTAATTTTCCATTTTCACATGGCTGAATAGTGACACCCTTATGTCACAACAAATATTCATACATGATAATTGGTTTGAACAGAATCCTTTACCTCATCATCATCTCTTTACTTATATAATCCACGTACATTAAATTATTTTATATATCATAAAACCAGAAAGCCAACCTGAAAACCTCGTTCTGACAGAGACAATGAACATGGGTGAGGAATTATACTCTACAAAGGTACAAACCTCTTTATTTTTATTTCTTTTTTCTTCCTTATCTATCCGACAAGCGGCTTCGGCACTCTTCACAATTTATTATTCCCCATCTTTATATTTTATTTCCATGAAATTAATCTTACATAAATCTTGTCTCATGAACATGCATGTACTACTTTTCAATACTGATCATTAGATCAATTAATTGTGATTATGTATTATGTCATTAGCCTAATCCAACTGTCATGATTGTAGTAGCATTGCATCAATAGTACTACGACTTTACGTATGACTTTATTCTATATATTGTATAATATATGGTAAATTAGTGGGTTCGCATTTAACCAGAAAACAGACAAAACCGCTAAATTTTATAAACGTCTCGTTTAGGACAAAGGTGTTTGATTAAAATAAGTTATAATTAGGCAGGCCTCTTAATACAATGTATCTAGCGATGTATTTTTTTTTTGTTAACAAAAATATTATTTCTTTAGTCTTCGCTGTATCATTTGGCTCCCTATATAAGTTACCTTTGTCTAACATTACTTGCTCGGGATAACCAAAGGTTTTGCAGTCAAAGAAATTAATAACACTCAAAATCAAATTAACTTCCTTCTTTCCATAGATCCATGAACTCAATAATTAAAGATCTATTTATTCAAATAGTAAACCTACTTCCGAAGTCATAATATTGTTACGTGTGAAGGGTGTGAATTAAGTTCAAATATAGTTATAATAATTTTGAAGAGTAAACGATTTTTTCCCACCCAAGGTTTGCCTTAAATGACACTTTTCCACCCAAAAAGTTTCAAACTACCACTTTCTATCCCAAAGTTAATATTCAATTACTACCCAAAGCCAATTCCAGAGGCGAAAATTCTCTCCGTCACCACCATTTGAACATCTGGTCTCCTCTCTACAAAACTCCTCTCACTCCAACACTTGATTTCTCGCCGATTATCGGTCACTACAAAGCTAGGGTTTCCTGTTCTTAGCTTATTTTCGACTAATTCCGGCAGTGAATATTCAATCGGTCACCACTATTCGATCCACCGGCCTCCACTCTACAAAACCCCTCATACCCTGACTCTTGGTAACTCGCCGAACGTTGGCTAAAAAAGTAAAGTATATTTTGGGTATTAACGGAATATAAACCTTGGGTGGGAAAGTGGTATTTTGAAACTTTTGGGTTGGGGAAATGTCATTAAGGCACACCTTCGGTGGGAAAAAGTCCTTTACTCTAATTTTGAATAATGAAATTCGTTTTATAACTTAATTTGGATCTAAAAGTTACAAAATGTTAATGATAAAATATGAACAATTTTATTCTTGAGTTATGCTAATTACTGTAAGGCAATATGTAACACACTCCTGCACATTTTTTTAAATAAATAAAAGAAAAGTGCGTTGTTGTAGAGAATCGCAGTAACCAAAGATACATGATTAACAATGCTAAAATCACATAGGATGTGGACGTGATCCTGATAGATAATCGATTGAATTATATGATGATGAATGCACAATAATTAACATAAAGCATTAAAGAATAAAAGAGACTTTTTAAAGTGAGTTGGCTGTGTATAATACAAAACTTACATCCACTGTCATGTTATTGAATGTTTCAAGTAATAAGTGAGCTGTTTTTACAAGAGTTTATAATGAGTTATTTCACCGTCCCCCAAAAACAGATTATAATGGATTTATATAGTGCTAGTTACATAGTTAAGTTGGAGGTAAATTCATATACGATTAAATTTTAAGTTGCTTGATCTTTGTCTTTGTATCATAGAACCTATATCGTGAGATATTTGTATGCCAATTGGGGATTTATCCGCTCCAGATTTTTTGCACAACAAAGTGTATTCTAACAATGATCTTATCATTTAGTTGAATATTTTTTCTTAATAAAGTTTTGTAAGCGTGTTGATATGATGATATTTAGGGTTGATGTTGGGATAAGAAGAATTCAGCTAAAGCCTATACCTATAAGCTGATGGTATAACTATAAGCATGCAAGGCAAAGCAACCAAATAGGGGCATTAAAGTAATTAAAATGAATTAATAAGGAAGAAATGGTCCAGAAAAGTGGAGACCACTCCCCCTTTTACCTCCTTAGCTTCCTAACGGGTAACGACTTTACCTGTCGACCTAATCATGTGAAATCGTGAATTTTTATTTAATTTTTACTTTTTTATTTTTTAATTAAAATAAAAATTTGCATTTCCTCTCATAATTAGACGGTGCCACGTGTCATCCCCCAGTTTCAGAATCTATCTTGCTCTAAGCACTTTTCAGCTTTTAGTTTAGATTATATTATTTACTGTTTATTATTTAATTTACGATTAAATTAATAAATAAAAATGTCTTCATCTCAACGGTAGGGCTTCAAAACACTGTAGCAAGCCAATGGGATTGTCGTGTTGTGGAGATGCACATGGCGATTAGGTGCAAGTCATGTGTCGGCAATCCATGTCTTGACACGTGTAGAAAAACAAGTCAGCAAAGTCACACACGTGCCGTGCATGGCCCCCCGCTGCACGACACCTAGATTGAGGACCGTGCGGCGTGGCACATGGGATTTCTTATACTGAGAACTGCTGTCTCTTCTGTTAGCTATTGGTAGGTTGAACGTGCTTCAGGATGCTGACGATAACTTGACTAAAGAGTAAAGAGAGCTATATTGTTTTTTTTTCTAATGGTTGTTTACAG